GAGTGGCGTGCTCGGAGAAGCTGCGCTTAATCATTTCTTCGATCTTCAACGCCTCCACTCTCAACAAGTTCAGAATCATATTGTAGGTCAATCTGAACTGGGACCTTAGCTTGCTAGGCGGGTCTAGTATCATTTTCTGAAGATCGACTACAGGTGGCGCTTCATCCATACTGCCAGGAGGCACAATAATGACAGACCCAACGGGATCAAGTCCACGACGACCAGCTCTGCCAGCCATCTGAGTATACTCGCCTGGGAGAAGATTTCGAAACGAGTGACCATCATGCTTTCGATAGCCGGAAAACACTACGGTCCTAGTTGGAAGATTCAGACCCATAGCAAAGGTCTCTGTTGCAAAGAGCACCTTGACTAGGGTCTGAGCAAATAGGATCTCGACAATTTCCTTGACGATTGGCAATAGACCGCCATGATGCACGGCAATACCTCGACTTAAGAGTTCTCGCAGGCGAATAATCTGAGGTAGGACTCGATCTTCGGGTCGTAGACGTGCTATCGACTTCTGAATAATCATGTGAATGTGACTCTTCTCCTGAGCAGTTGTGAAGTCCTGGTTGCTTAATGCGTCGGCATTTTCCTCGCACCTCTTCTTGGAGAAGACGAATATACATGCGGGCAGCAGGGTAGACTTCTTCAGGAATTGCACAAGGTGAACCCAGAGGTTCTTGTCCTGGTTGGCAGACGAAAAGCCTCCTGGCCTTCCGGCACGGCCCATATGACCGGGCGTATGACTGGCTCTCGGGGGGCCTCCTCGGCCTCTTTGCTGACCACCGCCACGCTGGCCGCCACGTTGTTGGCCGCCGCGTTGGGGACCTCCTCTTTGGTTGCCTCGCTGATTGCCACCGCCACGAGCAGCTGGCGCTGGGAGAACTTTATCTTTTCCACGCAGTGCTTGGTCCGCTTCCTTCCACCCTCTCTCGAGGAATTTCTTTTCGTGGTCAACAATCTTGTGAATATTCTTGCCAGCCCACAGATAGTGTTCTAAAGGCACAGGTCGTTTCGGCGTTGAGATGACGTATATATCCTTCTTCTTGGTCCTACCAACCCAGGAGGCAAATTCGTACGTATTGGGGACAGTCGCAGATAACAGGATAAGCGAAACATGCTCTGGAAGCATGATGATGACTTCCTCCCAGACTACACCACGCTCGAAATCATTCACGTAGTGAACCTCATCGAAAATAACAAATTCGACATCTCGAATTAGATCGGCACCTCTGTACAACATACTCCTTAGAATCTCCGTAGTCATAATTAAACAACTTGCTTCTGGATTGATCTGGACATCTCCTGTTAAGATACCAACTTCGTCAAAGGTCTGTCGGAAATCGCGAAATTTCTGGTTGCTCAGGGCTTTAATGGGTGACGTGTAGATAGCTTTGGTCATATGTCTCGCAGCTAAGGCGATGGCATACTCAGCTACTACCGTCTTGCCGGCTGACGTATGCGCAGCGACAAATACGGAATCGCCGCCCTCGAGATGATAGATAGCTTCTTTCTGGAACGTGTCAAGCTCGAATGGCCATTCTCTAGCCATATCTGGGACAAGCTCTTTGAAGTTGGGAATATCGCGGTTGATATCCACCATATGTGCCCATTCTCGGGCAGCTTTTCTTGCTTTAGCTGATGAAAGGTTACCGTGTGGCTCTAAAGCTGGGAATTCGACGGGAAGCAGCGTGTCAATATCTTCTGAATCTTCCTCGTCAATTTCCTCTTCGATGCTATTGGTGTCTGCGTGTCCGTTGGTATCTTTGGCCTCGGGACCTTGCTCGGGTTCTTGGTCAAGTTCGGCTTCGACTGCTTTTGCTTCTTTCTCGTCGACCATAGATTTCTTTTTGCTAAAATCGATTCCCCTTTCCATACCAGGGGCCACTTCGAGAAGGCCACCCTCCGCGCCCAGTTTGATAACGCGTTCTAGCTTATTCTGAGTGCCGATAGCGCTAGGACGTAGCATCTGGTCTTCGATAGCAGCGGTTGCCTCAACACTATCGAGCCCACCAGGTGCAAAGGGGAAGAAACCAGCAGCTCCACGCACAAAATCAGCACGGCCGCCGGGTTTACGCATAAGAGAAGTCGAGTTTTTGGCCGTGGCACTGTTTGCAGGTACAGTAACATTCTTGTATCCTGTCACCCTGCCCTCGAGACCTTGACGTTGGAAGCGTGTGACAGTTCGAGTCTGAGTAGGTGCAATGCGAAACAACTCGGTGAGATCGGTTGGACTGTCCCATCTTTGCTGTAATTTGTTAAGCCATTCAGAAGAGAATTTGTTGGAGGGAGTTAGGAATTTCCGTTCGAGCTCTGCTTTCAACACAGTTGGATCTTGCTTGAATCGCTTGCGGGGACCTTGTTGGAAGAGGATATCGTCGATGGTCATGGTCGTATCGTCGCTGATGTGAAGCTTTTGAATAGCTTCCACCAGGTCGGGGGACGCCATTTTTCCTTGAAACGACAATTTGGAGTTAAAGAAGCAAACGCTCCAAACAGTCGCAAGGGAAAGTTAGGACGATACCGTCAAATGACGTTTGCGATGTGTGAAGTTAGTGAGTTCAATGTTTGGTGGGTTAGTGGGCTGGTGGGATACTGCAGTAATTAAGTGGACCCAACCGGCTTAGCTGTTGGATGCTGACGGCTGCTATTTATAGTGCCTGACAACTTTTATCGATAAGGATTGTTATCTAAGATAAATCACCCCACAACGGCCATACCCCATAACGGCCATAAGGTTTTTAAAGACGCGTTTAATCCATTTATTAATTTAAATTTATTTATAATAAAACTTTTTTATAACTTAATTTTAAATTTAATTATATTATTTTATTATTTGATAGGACACCGGTCATGTGACCATGTCACATGACTAAGGTTGTGCCCATACACACCGCCTAGGAATTAATTTACACACATGTAAATAAATATTTTTTACTTGGTAAATCTCCCACCTTTTTTTATTTAATTAAACACATTAATTAAACCACTTTATTTAAACTACCTTGTTATTTCCTACCTTTCGTATTACGTAATACATGGCAACACTGTTGCCACTTTAACATTATTTAAAATTTTTTTTTTTTATAATATATAATTTTTAATTTAATTTTGCGTAATTATTATTATATATAACGTTTAAAATAAGCGATTAATTTAAAACGCGTTATAATATTATTAAATTAATTATATTTATATATAACGTTATATTAAAAATATTTAAATAAAAGAAAATTATAATAAAGTTTATTAAAAATTATTTAAAATTTAAAAAAATTATTTAATTTATTAAATTATTGTATAAAATATATTAAGTTATATGTTATTATATTCGAGATTTAAATTATTTATTTAACGTTTATTTTTTTATAATAACGTATATATATTATTTAAAAAAAATTAATACGTTAATTTTTTATGTTATCATTTAAAAATAAATAATATAAAAAGTTATATAATAAATTATAAACGTTTAAACGACATTATAATTAAATTGTTAAATAAATTATTTAATTAATTAAATTTATTAAAAATTGTTAATATTTTCTTTATGTTATATATAAACGTTAATAAATTTAAGTTATAAAAAGGTATTAAAAATAATGTTTTAATGTTTAAAAAAATTTATTATAAATATATATTATTTAAAGATTTTTTAAAACAAAAATGGATTATTATTTTAATTGTTATTATAATTATTAATAAAACGTTATTATTATTAATAATTTTTAATAATGTTAACGTATAATAATAATGGTTTTTTAATATAAAAAATTAACCGTATAAATTTTAATATTTTATTACGTTTTTTAATAATTAAATAAATAAAGAAATTACTTTTAAATAGTTTAAAAAAATTTATTTATTTTATATAAAATTTAAAAATTTTAATTAATAAAAGTTTTTTATATTTAACGGTTATAATAGTTATATAAGCGATAAATTTATATAAATATTTAATTTATAAAGTTTATATTTTATTTTTTTTAACTTATACGTTTTATGTATTTTAGTTTTTTAATATAAGTATATTCGTTATTTTTAAACGTTTTTTTAAATCTTGTTTATAAATATGTTTATTTAGTTAATTTTTATAAAATATAAATAAAAAAAACTTTTTTTAATTGTTTATAAAAGTATAATAATTAATAATAATATTAAAATATATTTTTATAAATTAAAAATATTTAAAGTTATAATTAATATTATTAACGTAATTGTTAAAAAGTTTATATTTAATATAAAATAAAAATTTTAATATTATTATTTTATTATTTATTATTTTTAAATTTATTAATTTTATAATTATAATGGTTAAAATTAACTTTAATATGTTTAAATTATTATAAAAGTTAAAAGTTATATAATTAAAATTTAATTTATTTAATTTTATTTTTTTAACGTTTATTACGTAATTTTTATTTTGTAAATTTAATAAAGTTTTTTAATATAAAAATTAATAAATTTATTATTGTTAAATTTTAAATTAAACAATTATAAATTATATTAAAAAAAGTAAAATTTAAAAAACGTTATAAAGTTATTTTAAACTTAAATTAAACTTTTATATATATAAAAAATATAAAAGAAATTAAAGTAAAATTAAAGTTACGTTTAATAAAAAAGTTAATTAATATATTAATAAATATAACTTTAATATAATAAAAGGTTATTTAAAATAATCGGGAATTTACGCAAAAATGTATTAAAATTATATTAATAAATTTTAAATTAAAATACAAAAGTAATGGTAAAAAAATAAACGAATAAATGTAAATAAGTTAATTAACGATAGTTTTAAAATTGCTATAGCCGTTATAAAGTATGGCCGTTATAAGGTGATTTATTTTATACCTTTATACCTTATAATCAGTTATAACAGATCAAAGAGTTCATTTATGAATTGATAACGTTTAATTTTTATCATGGAAAAAACGTTAAATCCTGGACATAAGGCGTATAGAGTAGCTAGCCTCTTTAAGAGAATTGAGTTTACTGTTGTTAATTATGATATACTTATAGCATCATGAGGCCTTGGCAACCGTAAAATAGATATAGTTACTAGGCATTATCAAAAGGCATTTACTTCCGTTCAGGTATTAACGCCCATTAGGTATAACAAACAACAACCTAGACACCCTTGCATGCATCATTATACAATAAATCATACCCAGTGCAGTTTTGGCCTCTCACCACAATCCATCCATCTCTGCCATAGCTTCCTCTTCATCTGCATCTGCCGTATTCTGGTTTACCTCCTTTGCTTCTTTAGGTGTCGAATCTATAGGTTGCTTTGTTTGCTCCTGATTTTCCGCCTCCGCCATTAATGCGTCTAGATCATCTTCTTCATCGTTATCTGCGCTAGGTTGTGCTGGCCTGGCTGTAAGAGTAGAGATTTGCTTTGGGGGTTCGTGGTGAGCTTCAGCTTCAGCCATCAATGCGTCCAAGTCGTCCTCGTCTGGTTCGTCTCTGGATTGATTGGGCTTTCCACCACCGTTACCAAACACAAAAGTAGGTTTCGTACGCTGTGCTTCTTCCTCTGCCATCAGTGCGTCTAGGTCGTCTTCGTCGGGCTCGTCACCGTTTCCGAATAGGGATGCGCTCGTAGGCCCTGTGCTAACGCTTCCGCTTCCAATTAATGATTTACTTGTGGGTTGTGTTGTCCTCGATGGTTGCGGTGTAGCTCCGTATATATCATCATCGTCATCAGGCACATCGTCTCGTATAGGCGTGTGCGCCCTTTCACTTCCCCGATCTTGGAATATGGGAGCAATCCTAGCAGGGAACACTGCAGGTGCACGCTCCTCTGGTTGATCGTGAGAATCGCCAAAGAGGTCATCGTCATCTCCGTCGAGCCCTGCCGGTCTGGGTTTCCCTTCCTCGATCCACTCCATACGCTTCATCCGCATATATTTCTTGTGACCTGCTTTCTCCGCCATAGCTGCAGCGTCTAAAAACTTGGCTTTAGGAAATAAGTCGTCGAACCATAATTGATAAAAGGAGAGAAGTCTAGCGGCGTCAGAAAACTAGACTATTGTTAGCTACTATTTATCGGTCCTATATAAGCATATAGGATATTCGTACTTCGTGTCCTTTCCCTTTAAACTTCAAATCTCGAGCTTTTCTTCGCAACCTCGGGATGCCTTTCTCGGATAGCAATCTATACTTGATAAGCCCATATCATTCCTAGTAATACCCGGATGCTTGTGATCAATACGAACCTGCCTTCATCTAGCTTGACAATTGGGACTCTGACTTTCTTCTGTACGGCTACAGCCTCGTCAATTCCTAGCCCGGTAGCGTCTTTACGCTTCTTAGACTGCGCGGTGTCATTGCTAGGAGCTTCGTCTCCAGATTCGGCAAAGGGGTCATCGTCGACGTCGTAATTATCTATATCATTTACCGGCTTTTTTAATGCCAAAGACGGTTTCTGTGCTCCTCGTGAGGCCATTTTCGTGGTAATGATTCTATGCTGAAGTTGTGACTTCGTAAGTATTAGAACCAAATCCTAAGACGCGTCGCATAAGTGAAAAGACGCGATTTAACGTGGGGTCTTTTAGTAAAGTTAAATTGAATTCTGGATGACGGAGCTATGTAGAGAGGTACGTACCATCTAAGTGAAGGTGGTCAGAGCGCATTATTAAGAAACATGTACTTTGTACGAAGTACATTTGTTATCTTCCGAAGAAGTCCCGCTTACATCATCCATCTCCAAGACCTCGCGATTTCGAAGCTCTCATGATTGCCCGCTGACAACCATCGAATATACGAAGATATTATACCGAAGCTTTTGGGGTGTCCAATTCCACTCCGCGAGAATGGCGAACCCTCCGCAGCAGACGTATATCCCTAGCAAAATCGTCCCGTCCGAATACCCCGTATGTACCCCTACCAATTGGGTTGTAGATAGCTCGCTAATTCGAATTATAATTTAGCTCATCGACAATGACCCGTACGTATCGACCTCGAACCTCGAAGATATTGCTTGGCGGTATAATATCTAGCTAACACGTGCGTGATGGTGGTGCTTTAGACATTTCAAGAGGGTGGTAGGCTATGCCCGCACATCAGACTACGTGCACGGCGCCGTAGCCGCGGCGGCAGGTCCGGGCTTGCTTTGGACGATGGAGAGATTCTCACCTTCGCACGTTGGCCGGGGCGGTTTTGCGAGAGCCATGCGCTTGGCTGGACTAATTGGAGCGATGGGTGGATTCCTATATTTCTACCAGCGATCGAGTCGTACGTTCTAGTACCCCATCATTCTATCCGAAAGAATATCCCCACTGACATAATGCGCTGCTGCGTATAGTGCGGTTCTACGGCATGTCGGAGAACGCCCGTGAAGTGGAGTTGGACATGCGGGAGATGGTGGACAAAGTCAAAGCAGGAGAGCCACTATACGGCCAGAGCAGCCTAACACCGCACATGCAGGGCGTCGCGGCCCGTCAGTCGCGGTACTCTGCCCTTTTCACTGCGGTGCTGCCCTGGTTTAACTTTGTCAACCACAACCAGCACGGTGTAGATACAGCAAAGTACTACCGACGAGCAGAGCAGGAGCTAGAGGCTGAGCGTCTCGGTAAGAGCAGTTCGTAAACAGCAACGGTCACACCTGTGAAGAAAAAAGCTCCTATTACGTGTACATATACCGACGTTTATCAGCTACTAAGTAGCTAGACCTCAGGGAGACTAAAATTCAGCAGGAAATGCAAAGTTCAAGATTTTTTTTTAATAATTTTGTTAGGCTGCATATATGCTAGATGGTGTTCGTCTAAGCTATGGGGTTATTATATATATATAAAGGAGGGGTGATGTATTCAGACACGAATTACCCCGTGGCTCGACCTGGTATCTTAAGATATATCTTCGCTCAGGTATCCAGGTATGCACCTATATATGTAGGTAGACAAGCCGCCATTGCGTCCATCCAGAGCTAAGCACGCGGGGTTGAGTAATTACATGCATTGACTTAGTCAGGGGTGAATCACGACGGCCAACTGGAGGGGTTTATTCCCGAAAGATCTTCCTCAAGTAGCCCCAGCATATGATTACCGCCAGAGAACCAATCCCCTAGCTGCGCTGTCTGCGCCATGGATCTGGCCTGATCATCAGTACTAGCTAAATCAAAATTGGCTGCGCCATCTTCCATAGGCATGAAGCCTAGTTGACTCAAGTACATGTTAAACTCGTTGCCTACGGGTACCATGTCCTGGTCAATGGGCTGTTGCGCCTTGGCCTCAATATATAGCTGGGCGATACTATATAGCACCTGGCACAGCTGGTGCAGCTTGCTAATTGACTCTGACAAGTCGCACGCTGCCTCTAGCGATTGTACAAAGTGTGCTAGGAGCTGTAAATCTTCCGCACTTGATGTTTCGATCACCAAACAGAAGATGACGATGAATGGGATGAATGGGGCATAGAGAATCGTCCTTTTTGTACGTGGTGTTTAGTTAGTAGTAGGAACTTGAGTAAGTGGGTAGGCAGCAAGTAGTTCTCACCAGTGAATATATACAATCTTTAACGACTGGTCATCCATCATCTCCATGGCTTCTTGGTGACATGCCATGGCTGCCCTAGCCGAGTCAATGCACTCATCCGCAAAGGTGCGTGAGCGGGTCCCTGTGGGTGGCATGGCACGGTATGTAAGGGCTAATGACGAAAGATACGACTATACTGAATTAGTAACAACGTCCCGAGGATGTTTAATCGATAGAAATATGTTTTGAGGGTAGATCTCCTTATATAGTTCTATTAAGAAGTACCGACTCCTGAGATGATTTGGGAATATAAGACATTTCATGTTACATACAACTTCGTCCGATTTTAACATTATGGCAAACATACGGCCTTCGGCGGCATCGGTCGCGTTGAATTCGGCGAAGAGCGCTAGACTTTCTGCCATCAGGTGTTTTTGCTCTGAAGTTAGAATGCCGACTTGCTCGGCACGGTACGTCTCGGACTGCCGCAAGGCGCCGGGGCTGTATAGGCGCTCGTATATGCGGCCCTGTATCTGTGCATGTTTAATCCACAGCGTCATGACTTCGTTTCCGGGATACGTTGCTGCTCTCGTCTCAGGAACAATATGCGGTAGCGAAATATCATAGTCCTGCAGGATGGAGGCTCGACCTAGTCGCAGCGACAGCCCCTTATCTAACATATACGTACACCAAAATAGTAATGACTTGTCTGCCTTCTTCTGTGGGCTGTCGTCTTTCATACTGTGGACTTGATGAAGGCCCAGCGTCCGGCACATATGCGCAGCCCGCTCTGCTAGAAGCCATGCCAGAGATGGACGTGAAATATCTATCGAGAAACTCGACTTTTAACACTACTACGTTAGCCTGGAAATTCGTCTACTAAAAGGTTATGAAGATTTCATTTCTACTTAGAAAGCAGCAGTAGACTCACCGCCATGAGAAGCGCTTCGATATTTTCTAACGTTGCCGGCATAAGGAGATTGAGGTGAGATAGTACTGTGTCTAAGTTCTTTTGGCACATATTGAAGTATCGATCGGCTTCGGCTTTCTCTTCAGGGGTTTTCGCACTTAATTTCACTTCGAAGAACACATACGCAAGACCGGAGTTCACCAGGATAAATGTGGCGTCCGTGATGTCTTCCGTATTGAAGTAGACACGCCGACATTGATCGGTAAAATGCTCCACATCTATGAAGCAGTAGAGAACAGCAAGCATCATTGGCAATGGACCATCTATAGTAAATGGTGAGTGAGCTATAGGGGTCTAATAGAGCGTCTTATGTAGATACGTACGTTTCATGTCCCGAAGCGTTTGCGCCACGATTTCCATTGGGGGTAAAGGTAGATCCCGTAAAGGGGTCTTGGAATGCTGCTTCTGGCCAGGCAGGCGAAACTCGTGGAAGGACGATACGGCACGCCGGTTTTCCTGCATCTTCACGATCTGCCGCAGAGAAGATAAGGCTGCATCGATCTTGGAGTTACCGCCTTGTTGCTCTAATGGGGTTCCTTGCACGGCATGCTCGAGAAACTCGCTCGCGAACGCCGTATGTGCGGCTAGCGACGAGTTGCCCTCAAAGTCCCCCGCATCCTCAGGGTCGAACACCGTACTAGCTGTATCATCTCGACTACTTAGAGACAATGGAGTTAGCTTTTCGAATTGTCGTCGTGTAGAGCTTTCGGCAGAGGAGGATGCAGGTGCCGATATTGGGCTTAGATTCCGCAGAAGCGCCTCGATACCACCTAGCCGCTCCTGTATTAAGTCGATCTTTCGCTCACTAGGGAGAGAAAAATGTCTGTTAGTAAGCATACCCTCATTTATTGAAGGCTATGTCACGAAGATTAATATTCTACTTACTATTGGCTGGAAATTAACACTCGTTGTCGCGGTTCCTTAGGTTTTTGGCCGGCTCCGGTGGAACTACATGGCCTCTTGGCGCTTCGACAATTGGAACACGGTGACTCCTTGTCACAACGTATCTACCAACATGAGTTTACATGTTAGTATATAAGCTTGATAGCATCATCATGGAGATGACAGGGGAGGCGGACAGTAGTAGGGTAGGATCCTCACCTTCCTAAGTCTGCATTGGTCACACTATGGTGCGAATGTTACTTAGCCATCAGGTCTCAGTCAAAAGTCAACGATAGTATCACAATAAGACAAGCTTGATTGAGTATAACGGGGCCGACGGGGTCCGATTCTTACTTACTGCTCGCCGAGGCACAGGAGACCCTGGACCACCGGCTTCGGACGTCTCGGGGTCCATGGCGGCGTTCATTATATATTATTCCTCCTCAGCTAGTTGCAGGTTAATGCAGTTATATGCGTGGGGCCATAAAAGAACAAGCTGTGTACCGATTCAAAGATACGTCTTGCTGCCGGATTTAAGTTGACATTGGGTTCTTGCTCAGGCGGTCTGCCTTAACATCGGCATCCGCGGACCCCGGAAGGATGTTTTAAAAACTTGGTCTGATAATCTGGTTAGCATTAGTTCATATTTCTAGGAACGTTTATGATTTATAGTACGGTACCAATCAGATGAAGCACTACATTTCAATATAAACTCTTGTTGGAATTGCTGATGTTTGTCAGCTTCTCTTCAATCCGTAGTGCTAGCTAGCACTAGTTATTGTCTGTTGGCAAGGAGGAAACATACACAACACTGTATGTAGTTACTCTATATTTCATGGAATCTCATAAGCTTCTGAAGGTGATACGTGATGAGTATCTGTATTTGAATAAATAAATGTGATGTTTTACTCTAATTAATAATCATTAGACGCTGCCATCACGTTCTACGTAATGTACGTAGTTCTATGTGAACTATGTCAACTTCGGAGTTTAAATATGAAGGAGGAGCTAGTGAATTTGATAGGCCTCATCTTAGTGGATACGTCTTTGGGTAACATTACGTCAGCAAACCTACTAGTAAAGTTATTACATAATTCCCGTTATCTAAGGTACCTACTCCTTATCGATTTCTACATGTAATTCAAGTCGCGACTCTCGAATTCCGTCCTATTATATTGTATTGGTCCGTATTTAAGCAGGACTGAATTTTTGATATTCGGCTTGCACCAGTAGAAAGATACGCAAGTAAAATGACTTGCAAACGGAAGCGCCCGGAAACCGACATCGCGTCTAGAGCAGCTGTATCGAAGCGATCTCGTCATACCACAGAGCCCGATCTATTATCACCGTTATCTGACGAACTCCTCATACGCATCCTCACCTTTTTACCTCTTCCAGATCTCTTAAATACCGCTCCCGTATCTCAGCGCTTTTATCACCTATCCGGCGACTATCAGCTATGGAAACGTCTATACTATTCGCGCTTCGTCCTACCCCGCGCCCTTCGCATTCCGGGATTCCGGGATGGTTCCACTAGAGAAGGCAAGCTACATTACTCCTCCCGCAAAGCTGTATGGGCAGATGGAAGAAGAGGAGGCTGGGCAGATATACACGTTGGAGATTTGGACGACAGTTCGAGGGACTGGAAGAAACAATATAAGCTGCGCCATAACTGGTCCAAGGGAAAATGCGCCGTCGAAGAGTTGCAGCTTAGACAAGAACTTCCCTTACCCGAAACGAGTCTATCGCATAAGGTCCTTGTAAAAGTTACCGAGGGTATCGCGATAACAGCAGATGCCACCACAGGACTACGAGCCTGGGACTTGAAGACGAAGCAACTCTTAACGCAGATTGGTCTAAGAGAAGTTGACTCAGGAGCTGCTCCAAGTTGCATTGCGATAGACGACCAAAAGATCCATCAACAAATTCTAGAAATTGCCATAGGTTTTATAGATGGGGGATTTGGGGTTTGGGCATTAGACGTGGAAGAAAGGAGGATCCTGCCGAGATACCGACATAAGAAATCCAGCAATGGGGAATTAGTCGGAGTTGCTTTTTCTTATCCATACCTTTTAACAGCAACTAAATCTGTTCTCATATCTATGTACACGTTCGACGGTCCTAATAAGACGGATTGTTCTAGCACTCTAGAATCTACTAGAGAGGTCAATGGCTATGTGCGGGATTTCGAAAGCAAACCCGGCCAAGACTCAGGGAGGATAGAGCAAGATCCTAAGTGGGTGACCCTTCGATCACCCTACCTACTCACATCACTCAAATCGCATACTTCAAGAGCCCCTCTAGCTTTGTCTATCCGGAAGACAACTAGTAGTATTATAGCTTCGATTGCTTATACATTCTCGACGCTTCAAGGGTGGTCTTTAGGCATACAGGATTTGCACTTACGCCCTCCTACATCCCGATCAAAACACACGTCGGACATAATAACAACTCGATTGGCATACACGTTACCAGTCTGGACTAGTTCTTCCCATTTTCCATCGCCGCCAACATCACCAGCCCGACATACAGGCCTACTATCTTCACATCAAGACAACGGAACAATAAATGGACCTATCAACTTATGTTATACACATCCTTATCTTCTCGCAACCCTTCCAGATAACACATTAATCCTATACCTCTGCACATCAAATGCGACTTCGCTGTCGATATCACCCGGTATCCGCCTTTGGGGACACACCTCCGGCATAAGCGATGCTGAGATAACGGCACGCGGAAAAGCGGTTAGTGTCAGCTCTCGCGGCGAGGAAATTAGAGTCTGGGAACTTGAAGGGAGGGCACACGGCAAGAGTATCGAAGTGCGCCCAAATACTAGACCTACCACCAATGATAAAGAAGGAATGAATGACCCTCCTATAATCGATGCTACGACCGTCCAGTGGGATGACCGGCGGAATTGGGTCGGTTTCGACGACGAGATGGTTATTGTTCTTAAAGAATCAAGGGGGCGAGAGAGCCTAATGGTTTACGACTTTACGTAGCCTATAAGCCGATATATAATAAATACCGCATGTGAAGAGACCTAGCCTAGGTCAACGTATGAATAATTGTTAGGCATATCTACCTTTTATTCAACCAACGCATGCTGTTAAAATGCTCCATAGGTATATTATCATCACCGAAAGTACCTAACCTATAGGTTATAATATAGCAATATATACGTTGACAAGACACCTCAGCCAGGTAAATAACGAAGTTCTGAGCTCCGGAACTCATGAAACTTCAGGTAAACACTACCGATATTGTCACCTTAGCTAGCCATTTCTACAATACGAAAGACAGACTATTCAGCAATGAAGATTGGCAATGCACCATTGAACCTGAATATTACGAGAAATTTAAGCAGTTCAAAATTTTCGTGGATGATGCATTGAAGCTATCCACACTCCTACTCACGGTCACACTGATGATCATAGACTCCACCTACACCGGCCTTCCGGATGAACTCGACAGTTAATACTATGGACACGGTCACACGGCCGAGATGAGGCATACATCATGCCCATATTGCACGCCCTAGGCCCGCTACTATATTCTCGCAACCGATCGATGGGCTCATTAGCGCCGAGTATGACTAGTGCGCCGAATGGTGAAGGCCAAGGCAGGGAGGTGACGGATACCCGATCCGTCCCTGGCTGTGGGCCTACCCTCATCGTCATTCAAGTGTTCGGAACGGTGCCCCGTATTTCAACAGGACTTTGCTCGGCTGGGTAGAGTCTCACGCTGATATGATAACACCGAAAAGGACGACTACGCTATTAGTTAGTAATGCTTAGGGATGAGCCTCGGTTTTCTTGGAATTGTCATATGCTGGCAACCCTATTCCCCTTTCTTCGGCAGAATTATCTAAGGGGATTCAACATTTTCGAACTAGCAAAGTCTTCCCACTACGTACATCCTGTCGAATTATGCTCGAAGCGACAAGGGAGAGGCGGAATCGCGGATTTAACCTATATAGCCTAATGTCGTCGTATTAATCTTATATGAGCTATGATCACATTGTGCGCCGGATGTTATATGAACCACAGGAAATCTTTCCATTTCGGCCCCGCGATGCAACCTTCCCCGGACTCAGGCATGCCGATATATTTGAACGTATGGGGAAGTCAAATGTTGTCTGTCAGATTTGTCATGCTTGTATTCCAATCGGTTACCCCCTGAGCCACCACCTGATTGAAATTTCATATCTAGCGCGATGGGTACAGCCTCAATTTGGCCGAAGAAGCAAGCGTCCAAGGTCTTCTACGCGCTGTGGAATTCGTAGTCATATGCCAACCACCGAATATTGATTGTGTGGCCCAGTTCAACTATCGGTCCGCCAGGCCGTGTCCTGGCTTCTCGCACACTCGCCTAGCTGGACGGAAATGCTCGGATGTATCTATGGCCCATACTTATGCGCTCGGGAATTATTTGCTCAGGTTAATATCGACCCGTCGAGTTAGAGTGCTTCTAATGATAGCACCAACCCCGGCGGCCGAGCATGGGCAAGTGCCGCACCCACCGGGAGAGGTCGCGGGCCAGCATTAAGGGTGGTCTAGACTAAATCAGATCATGGAGATATAATGTTGCGTTGCCCCTATCCTAGCCTGGTGTGAATCTGGCTGCTCTCCAGCACGATCAGCATAAATACTACCGTGTCTCGCTGACTGCCAAGGCCTACGATTGTCCATCCTCCGTCCTAATAGCAAGCAAGCATCACCGAGGCTTTACGTATTCTGGTGTCAAGATGCTCTTCTCACTTCCTCTTCTCGTCGCGCCGGCCCTGGTCGCCGCCCACGGTGCCGTGACAAGTTACGAAATTGGCGGAAAGACATACGAGGGTTACCAAGGATATTCTCCCGTTGCGGGAGCTCAGATCATCCAAAGACAATGGCCCGACTACAACCCGATCATGACTGTCACCGACCCCAAGATGACCTGCAACGGTGGTACCTCCGCGCCCCTCGCCGCCGAAGTCCCAGCCGGCGAGAACGTGACTGCGGTCTGGAAGCAGTGGACCCACGAGCAGGGCCCCGTGATGGTATGGCTCTACAGCTGTGAGAGCGAATTCACCGCCTGCGACGGCAAAGGCAAGAAGTGGTTCAAGATCGACGAGTTGGGCCTATGGGGCAACGTCTTGAACAGCAACAACTGGGGAACTGCGGTCGTTTTCAAGGACCTGAAGTACTCCAGCCGGATTCCCAAGACCCTTAAGCCCGGCAACTACCTCATCCGTCACGAGCTGCTCGCTCTCCACCAAGCCAACACTCCTCAGTTCTACCCCGAGTGTGCGCAGATCAAGGTTACCGGTTCCGGTTCCGCCACTCCTCCGGCCAACCTCCTAACCTCCATCCCCGCGTATGCTGCTCAGTCTGACCCCGGTATCATGGTAAGCAGTCGATCCGATCTTTACGGGTATAATTGAGAACTAACAAAAGCTAGGTCGACATCTACCAGGGCGGTGGCACTTCATACAAGACCCCTGGTCCCGCTGTGTGGACTGGTTAAATAACACCAGGATAAGAGCCTGACGATGAATAATGTATGGATAGGTGACGGAAACTTGTATATTTCAAATGTTGCTTAATGATTCACACTTTGGAATATATCACCTTCATGCCCACCAATTTCTTCTCCGTGTGACTCGCTAGTAGCGTAGTGTTGATGTATTGCTACGTGAAAGAATTTTAAATAGACCATCGAATCTTAAAGCTGCAGAATGAATGCATGCTATCAGGATAGAAACATTATGGAGCTACCGACCTGTATCATTCCATACGTCAAATACTACCACCCCTCGTTTTGTCGCGCATCTCTCGATATTGAACCATGGTATTAAAATAAAGTCAGGGTAAACCATGAAGACCTGGTCTGCCGTAAATAGATTATTTGACAAGGGTCATGACATCGATGATAAAAAAATAAATTAAAGCAAAGGAAGCTAAAGTGCCAACAATCGGGCTGTAAGGAAGACCTAGGAAAGATAAAAGGCAAAAAGTTGGCGGTACTGGGAATCGAACCCAGGTCTACACGGTATCAGTATATCTGTACATCCACAACGTGTTGTACTATCCACTATACTATACCACCCTTGCTGGTGAAAATCGACGTGGAATTTGGACCTATAATACAAAAGACCTTTGCTTCAGCTGGTCGCAGTAGGCCGACGTTTAACCGACAGAATTTCGAAAATGAGGCAGAAAAGCACCTAGGTTAGGTAAGTTAACAATTTCCCTCTGGAACAACAAGTTTGGAATATTAAAACAATCGTTGTAACCAGTACTATTATTCGCTATTGATATCGCTTACTATTTCAAGACGCTACTTTATCTCTAGTAACTAACATATTATCAAGACATCAGTTGTCTCCCTCGCTAGACAATAAGTATCTTGCCCTCCTCAACCGCAAACAGTTTCGCACTCTAACCCAGCAAATTTACGGAGGAGGCAAGCTTAAAAAGCTACCATTGTCGACCTTGTGTACGAACCATGACTTTCTTTCTCTGGCCAATACGAAGAACTGCTGGTTTTCTTGAAAGCTTCTGCCACCGGTCTCGGGCAAAAATGCCCAAACGAGCAGTCCTGCCAAAAGGTTGGTAGCGGCAAACACGAAGAACAACCAGAATTTCAAATTGTTGAAGCCAATCGGTGTGAGGATCGTGATAATAAAGTTGGCAAAACCCCATACGACGACGCTGATGGCACCACCCTGCGCTCGCGCCTTGTCCGAATATATCTCAGTTGGAATCAACCAAACAGTCGTCAACCAGCACGCTCCAAATATGGCCGTTGAAGCCACGAGACTCATGGTTCCCATGGACAATATAAACGAATAGTTATCTGTGAGGGCGCCCATCGCGACAAGACCTAGAAGGGTGAAGCAAATTGTCAACCCACAACTACCCCCCAACATTAATTTCCTGCGCCCGTATTTGTCGACTGAACTGGTGGTGACAACCATGGTAATAAAGTAAAAGATGTAGTTGCCGAGGGTTGCATACTCTGCTACCCATGATGATAGTCCTAGAAGTTGAAATATTTGCGAACCATAGACTGAGACTGCCCCGGCGCCTGTCATAGCCTGGTTGAATTGGACCATTACCGTAATCATGTTGGGGTGAAACCGGCCAGGTCCACAGCAGAGCATGTCAAGGAGACACCCCGCTGCCTCTTCAACTTCTTCTTGTTGGGCTTCTTGGAGTTCTTCAAGCTTGTGGTTTGCCTGGTCATCCCCATAAAGGTTTGAAAGTACCACCCGAGCATCATCCATCTTCCCTCTACTTACTAACCAGCGTGGGGACTCCGGTAGTCTGCCCATGATCAACATAAGTGCTACGGGGAAAGTCTGCATGAACAATATAGGCATCCTCTAGGCCCAGCTATCGTCCTTTATCCAACGGGAGAAGCAGAGGTTCAATGCAAACGCCACTAATAGCCCTCCAATGTTTGCTCGAAACTCTTTTGCCACTATGAAGGTCGGTCGTTAGTAATTGTCAATGAAGTTCAGAACTAAATAGGGCTATATGATTTGGGTATTCATGGGACAGTGAGGTATAAACGATCAGAAGGGGTGTAACCGAAGGAATGTTCTTACAAGCGGTACCACGGGCATTGCCCTCAGAAAGTTCGGAGCTGTACACGGGAATTACTGTGTCGATACCGCCAATTCCAATTCCGAGCACGATCCGCCCGACTAGCATGACCCAGAAGGCATAACCGTGCCATGTTTCCTCGATATATGACGAAAATATCCCAGGAGTGACCATTATGATACCCCCAACTATAGTTATGCCGACTGAAAGGCGAATTGACAGTTTTCGGCCGTATCTGTCGGCAAAAAACGACGCTATTATGGCACCTCCTACGCATCTAAGGTAGTAAACAGCGACAATAACCCCGACGAGGGGGGAGTCTCTTGATATATTCATGATGCGGAGATAGGATGTGTTTGTATTGACTAGGGACATCATGCCCTGATCATACCCGTATAGAGCAATGGCTACGCATGAGAAGCGTTCCACGAGTTGCTCTAGGGTCCACCTCCATGGTAGACATTCTCTCAGGCTCTCTGCTAAGCTACGGGGCATTTTGGCCTTGCGCGGAAGTTTGAAATTCGGACTGGTTCTCGGTTTGCGGTAAAGGTATTGTAGGGTTGTTAACGATTGCTCTGTCGGGGCTGCGCGGGCTACCTCGCTATGATGTATAAACGAAAGTGGGAAGTGTAAGGGGAAATATAGAATGATTAATGGGAAAGATTGTTATATGCGATGGGGGCGAAATAAATCTGCCTCTAAAAGATGGTGGTGGTATTCAACTATGATTTTGAAGTCGTTAACTCGAACTCCAGATGAAGTTTTCAGGAATAGAGGTGGAGGGGGGAACCTTTGAAGCTACCTAACGTGTGATGGAAACTATTTGGGGTGTCTACACGCTCTTACTATTACTCCTTCGTTAGCTACTGATCGTAACTGCTAGAACGTAACCAGTTTCGTCATCGTCTACCAAGGCAATGTACGTGAGCTATAAAGACGTATGACATCATCTCAGGTATATACACGAGCCTTCCACAAATGTCGGTGAGATGTATTAGCAAGGGGTTTTATATAACGTACAGGCAGGTATATTAGAACCTCCATAGTCCTTTCCGAAAGATGTAGGTCGTTAACTCCCCTGTTTCTGCCCCTATCTAATCTCTCGAGGCAGGGACAATTTAGGAGAAGCCGAACCATTTATAAATATCGTAATCGTGTAAGCAAAGGAGAGGATGAGAGGCCTTTCTATGGTATTTTGGAACATATATCACTACTATTAAAACGTTCAGATTACAGTCGACTCAGGATCTAGTCAGGTACCTAGGTAGGTAATCAGTGAATATAACTAAAATAATAGAGACTTGTTTGCATACATCCTACTTAACTATTCCTCAAGGAGCTTGTCGCTGTCTTCCTCCAAAACCCGACTGCAGTCTCGATTTTCCTATCTAGAAAAGTGAAGGGTGGGCGCACGTAGCTAACGTACTAATTGTCCCCATCGCACATCATATTATATTGCTCAACATAGTCGACGACGGGGATGTACATCCAGCCTACATCCTCCTCCTCATGGCATGTAACGCCATCTTCCCAAAATGCGGCGGGGACCCCCCGAATCTATGTTGTCATCAATAAAACCTATCTCTCTCGCTTCATCTTGGGATAATGGTAAGAAGTCTTTCCTTAGAAGCTTAACTACGCCTCCATGCATCTTTTCGAGGGATTCCAGGCACAGATCATCTACTACGAGGCAGTAATTATACCGCGTACAGGAGATTGTCAGGATTCTAGATGAGACGTCTAGAACAAAGGACCTGTTCATTATGTATAGACGTAAGACCCTCATAGTTAGTTTAGAGTTCCTTGCGGAATAAGGAAGTTGTTTCCATGCTGTTTCCTTCCACCTCGTGACAAATATACCAAGTTTCCTGATTTCAATGTGTTTACCAGTTGTTTAATTAGGTACCAGGTACTCAATTCAGCCTCATATTTAAGGAGTGAGCCCCTCTTTACTTTTATTATTGCAATATTCTTATCATGAACTCGGTTTGCTTGCTAAGGCCAGTATACGTTGCACCCTTTCAATATTAGTTAGATTGAGGGGTTGAGGACATTTTGCAATAAAACGGTCAGGCAAGTGTTAGGTATCATGTGCTTCTTGTAAATTTTAGAGGCTTCTAAGGGATTCAAGCTACGAGTTCTGATTCGTTCCCCCCCTTGTCTTTTACCCCGACCTGCCCCTGCAGCTTGCGGTCACCATGCGTGATATGTAGATCCGTTCAGCCAATTATATTTCCCAATTCCATTTTGCTTAGCCGCCTGCTCAACGTTAGTCGATCATATTTTCGACAACTATGGTCATAGACTCATAAGGGAATGGTCGTGTTAGTGGGGATCATGATGCATTTCAAGAACCCAGAGCTTGAATACTAGGTTCTCGGAGAACTATTTTGCAAGTTAGGACTCTGGTTTCACTGTATCGCTACGTAAACATATCCATAGGACCATAGCTAAGGTTTATTAGGTTATTTGTAAGGAAGTTGCATTATTATCGTGATGCTCAATATGAATATAATGACAATGAGACAAGACTCGGTGTGCTAAGCAACACTTCAACGTCCCATTTAATTCGCCCCGTAGAATCTATGAATGCCTCCGGCCTAGCGGCCATATCTCCTTTATATTTCATAAAATAAACTCTTCCTCCAGCCGGAATTAACTCGTCAAAGGTCCCCGTCGCCAAAAAGCCATCGTTAGACGAATCATGTCCTTTGTCTTTACTCATGTCCATTTGCCTATGACCTCCAGCTCTTAACAATCTACCTACCCAACATACCAACGAACCACATGGTCCGAACACTCCATCGTGCCCTCCGCCTGTACCCTTCCATCGTGTTGGCCAGCATACCTCTTGATGACCTCGTCGATGACATCCACGATATCCTGGTTATGCATCGAAAACTCAAACTCTGCGTTGTCCCCATCTGTTTCTCGAGAGATGCCAAACTCGCAAGGTCCTAGATATAAGTTGTCGCGGTAGCCCGCGGGTCTGTCTGTGAAGTCGACGCCCCAGTCGCCAGCATCCCCTAATACGCCTCGGCAAGTTTGTTGGCAGTCTGAAGAGGACGGCGCTGATGTTGATAGGGTACCGGTTCTGTCTGTGTATGACAGTGTGTTGCAGTATCCTGCAGTAGACTTATCGCCGGCGCAGGCATCTTGCCTTTGTATTATTAGTGGAGAAGGAATGCCTGCAGTGAGGGCGGCGAAGAGGGTGGGCAGCAAGAATATTGAGTAGGACATATTGTCTCAAGCTGTGAGTTCTCGTAAACTCATGGTATTGTCACTCGTGATGCCTTGGCTAGTGTAGTTACCGCCATGATGAAAGAGTGAGTCGGATTACGGTGGGTGAGAAGTGATGTTATATGCTGAATTATAGATGTGCCGAGTCGATGTGCTAGTTACCACTCTGACAGGCCCAATTGCGCATGTGACGTGACGAGCAAGATCGTCGCAGTGTGATAGACCGACAGAGGTGGACTTCCACATCACAAACTTGGCCAATCAGGTCGCTATACTGGCATTGTAATTCGGCGAATCAAAAGATAAAATCAATTAATCCCAACTAAATATCGTCTTCAGGTACCCAATAACCATATGCTGTTGCTTCAATATTGGCTTGTTGGCCCGTGGTTGAGGTGTAAGTGGAAATAAAAACTACCAACTTAAACTCATATTAAATCTACCCCCATGATTCAGTCTTAACCCGGGATGATTTATCTGGGTCATTGCCGAGATGCGCCGACGTCTCTGGCATGCCATCCATAGAATGGGTAAAGGGATAGATGTTACCGGTCCTGAGTCTCCATGAGCTAGTCGTATCATCTGTCTGAATTTGTGTGTTCCTATTCCAAATTTATATCCTTCCGATGCATGATATCGTTGGGTTGAGCGAACAGTTCCATGGTAAACGTGCTAGGCTAGCTCGTTCGCGTCGCAGGGTGGGATTCTTCCTCGGCCGACTAGTCGTTGAACTGAACTAGAACGTAGAGGGGCGAAGTGGTGTGTGAAGGCTACCTTCTAACAGTTATATTAATAAGTCACTTTTCATTTTATACGATGAACTCACTTGTCTTTTTGAACGTTTTTAAGACCTCCTATGAGTATGACCTATCGTAACTGAGTCTCGAGCTAAGTCTTATTCTTAGGTTGCCTTTATAGCTAGTTCTAGTTCCGTATTGTCTTTTTCGCATTGCTTACACGTCGGCTCTCGGGTGATCTCGACTATATTGCAGTTGGACTTTGTGCAAGGAACTCGAGTTTCGTATGGCTTACAGCCGCAACGATATGTAATTATAAGCGTGCACATTGTATTGGCTGGTTGTAATGTTTATTATTTCGGTGATTGTAATCTTCTCCAGATGCTTCTGAGTAAAGGGGTAGTTGAAAGAAATCTTTTGGAATGCTTTTAAAATTAGATATAGGGTACCTAGGTAAATATATAGTTGAAGAGGTCGCCCTGCCGATGAAGCAATCTGTAGTACTTAAAATGAGTCAAGCTTCTGATAAAAGGTCGAGCACCCACAAGCTTTGACTGGCGTAAGTTCTATTTAAGCCACAGCCCTTATATTGATGCGCCATAGATAACTCAAATGACAGGCATTTTTCTACCTAGACGAAGTAACTGGGCGTAACCATGTCCCCATAGAACCCAGACAACCCGGAAGTTCAGACGGGTATCTGCAGGTTTCGTGCTTTCTAATACCCTCTGTTTTGATCAGCTCGTGGTAACAGAAGCTACACAAGATCTCCCACGGGTCATCAATGCCAACGATTGCATCGAGGCAGATGCCGACGCCTCATCTTTGACGTCGCCATTTGCATTCCCTCACACGTCAATATTTGTAGGCGGCTATCGAGGCAATAGTTTGCGATTGGACCATCTTGTTTCTTCTCTTCCTGCCGATTCCCGGAGATGAATATGTGTGCACAGCCCTGTCCCTCGCTCACTAGTCGTTTGACCTTCAAGTCGGAGGATTCGGTATCGGAGTGTCTAATCGATGAGTTTGATCGCTCAAGCCTTGAGTGATTTTGACTCATGGTGAGGCCATTCGTACCACGCTAATACCAACATAACTATGGCCCCCAAAGAGGAAACTTAGACAGTAACCGTGTCACCGAAAATATATAATATCGCCCTCTCTTGACGTTCAATTTTCGAGCACGGGACCCTTATCTCCATAGATCGGATCTTTCTCGAACCATGGCAGATTTTTAATACCCTGTACCTTGGCCTCTTCGTCCCTCTTGCCGTAACACATGTCCCAACTGTAGCCCTTCAGGTAGGAACCCACCATCTCAAATTCACCTGTAAGATCTTCCAATAGCCTATGTCCGACGCCAGCCGGCACGACCAATACATCGCCCTTCTCGACCTCTTTCTCCACCTTGTCGGGGTTGTCTTCGCCGCCGAAGCAGAGCTTCGCCTTTCCGTTACTAATACACAACAGTTCGTGCGTGGTGGAGTGGAAGTGAGTGGTGGAATACATTGTAAAACGCCACTGAGGCTCCACAACACCAACTGATGTGAGATGTGACTCTATGGCAGATGCGGTAAGTGTTGAGGGAGGAAAAGCCTCATGATAGTGTAATAGCGGTTTGTTTTGGATGCTCGTGTTAGGGATAAGTCCGTGCGCCGGAATAAAGTGACGAGAGACACGAAGTGAGGTTAAAGGTGTGGGAGTTAGCTTTTGGATCATGGTGATAGTGTATGATATGAACTACCTATGGTCGATGATGTGTGAAAATGCGTAGAATGAGATTTGTAGTAAATACCTACATGTTGATATCTATTAACACATCTCTGCTCTGTTAATATTTAAACAAGCAGAATATCAATTCAACGTCATCGAGATCCCAGATACATAAGTGAAGTGTACCTCCGTACTACTCCTATTTTCCTCATATCACTTTTAATGCATAACATTTGTTAAATGCATTTTCCTGACCCCTTATCTTCGACAACCGGAATTCAAAGGCTTGTAAGAGGCAGTATCTAATAGGATTACAAATTACGATAGAATTCACCATGTGGCTTTCCAATAGGCAATAGAAATATACGTGATCATTGGTTAATTGTGACGTTGGATTGCATGGGCTCCGTGTCTCGGTCTCCTCGGCGCCCGCCGCAGGCTCAGCTACTCAATTATTTCGCCAAGAAGCCATCAAACCAAGGCTAAAGGAATTGGGAACTCCGACATTACCTAAACTCCGCAGGGGAAGGGAACTTCATGAACTTCATTTTACCACTGCTTCACGGAGATAGCTTCTAGCAGCATTGCGAAAAGCAACGATGTATAGATTAAACACGTTTAATCCTCAAGGCCAATCAGCGTGTTCGATGAGTCAGTTAATAGCCTGACCTGACTCGGGCCTGACCTGACCTAGCCTGGGTAGATAGCTTTTTCGGGATATCTATACAGTCCAGGTATAAATTTTTTTTATTTGCCTAGTAGGCAGATAAGTTGAGGCTGTTCAGGCCCACTTTTACATATATTTATAAGATATGATTGGTCGATTTAAAGCAAACTGTCTGATAATATTTGTTTGTATAATCGGCAACGTTTTGTATTAAAATAAATACAGGGTTGTTTCTGGCACCTTTTACAATTGACGTCATAATTAGACTTCTATTTAAAAAAAAGGAAGGGTACGTACCCCGATACGTATAAGGTAATGAGGCTATCTGTAATCGTGTTTTTTAAGGTCACGATAACCTTTTGGTGTTTTGATTAAAAAAAAGCGTTAAGGGTGGGGTTGAGTGGGTATATATTTTAGATTACCCCGAATCTGGCCAATCGGATAGCGCAGGTTTTGATTACCTAACTTTTGCCTGTATCGATAAGATAGGTGCCTCAGGCCAAGCCCACGATACTGCCGGGTAAGCCTCATTTTTAAATATATTTGACCTGACTCGGATAAGGTCAAGTCTTTACAGTTATCTGACCTGACCTGGCTCATCGAACACGCTGAGGCCAATGCTCTTCAAAGAGACCTAAACGTAGACCCAGTAACAAGATAGGTAGTACATATAGCTAGGTGTTTGCCCTATTTGCTTTGCGATGTGTTCATCACGAAGTAAACCCTAAATTTCAATGCACATTTACATACGATATCAATAGTACAGCTTAGAGGCATTTCGCAAATTTCAGATTTTTATTTAAACATCCAACCTCTGACGACTCTACATAGAAGATGGCTTACGAAAGATCAATTATCATCACCGGCGGGACGGTTAATCTGGGCTACTATACCGCGCTACAGATTGCCAAGGCACACCCCGAATACCTGATCATAGTATCATCACGATCAGACCGCGAGCATGCCGCGGATACCATCAATAAGGCACTCGGCCAAGAAAATGTAGTTTACATCCCGCTCGATCTCTCAAGCCTACAGAGTGTACGCACTTTTGCTGAAGATTGGGCGTTGAAGAACTACCCCCCTATACAGGCCTTGGTTTTCAACGCGGCTCTGCAACATCCTGGGTCATTAGTCAAAACTGTTGACGGCCTAGAATCAACTTTCGGCGTCAACCACGTTGGCCACGCTCTACTCTTCCACCTCCTGTGTCCTTACCTTGCCCACAAGGCCCGGGTGGTTGTCGTTTCCAGCGGGACTCACGACCCAGACCAAGTTACGGGTGGCATGCCCAAACCGAACTATATAAGTGCCGAGGAGATGGCACACCCCACCTCTGCCTCAGCTAATAACCCGGGTCGCCAGCGGTATGTTGAAAGCAAGCTCGCGAACATACTATGGACGTACGCGCTCGACCGCCGTCTGAAACAGCGTGTTCCAGAGCGAGACATCACAGTTAATGCCTTTGACCCAGGCCTGATGCCAGGCTCCGGATTAGCGCGTGAAGCCGGTGGATTTCTCAGGTTCCTCTGGATGCACGTCCTTCCAAGGGTTATTCCACTTCTCAGGATTATCTTCGTCCCGAATATCCATCATCCGAGTGAATCTGCGGCTTCGCTAACGCGTCTCGCGGTTGGCTCGGATCTAGAAGGCGAAAGTGGGAAGTACTTCGAGGGTAAGAAAGCTATCAAGAGTAGCAAGGAGAGCTATGATGAGGCTAAACAAGACGATGTTTGGCAATGGACAGTGAATTATCTTGCGAAGGGGGACGAGGAACGGGAGCGCTTCGAACAGCTCAAATAATAAACCAGTACTAATTTCTTATTTTTCTTTCGCTATCTCATCTCTAGCCCCTATATAACATTAAACTAATATAACCGAACTCGGAAATATACCCCTACCCTCCGGGGTAGTTCTCTACTGATAACGTACCTCCGTAAATATAATCAACATTAGACTTTATTTTAATCATAATTATAAACTATCACTAATAATGAAATGTGAGGACATCTTTTTCCCCGGGTGGCAATGCTCTATTAGGTTAGGTAGGTAGTTATAATCAGCCCACAGCTTGCTCCAGAAACTGGAAGACCCTAAACAAGCTACTATGAAGGTCTCCTGTAGAATCATTAAGAATATCGATATCCGCCGGAACCTCCCTAACGTCGAAGCCATGGCCTTGACCTTTAACAATCTCCAGCAAGACTTTGACGCCCAAGTCCTCAAGAGCCTTTGCTACACCACGGCTCAACTCCACGTCAACGGCGACATCTGCGTCTCCATGTAGTAACACTGTAGGAGGAAACTCTCGGTGAAGCCCAAACGAGGCAGGAAATAGCTGTCGGAACTTTTCGGGGATGGCATCAATACCACGCTCGTTAATCTGTTGTGCTAAACCTCGCACACCTGTTAACACATCCGGGTACAGCGCTGCCTCATGCAGTGCCTTTATCCAAGTATACCTCTCATCTGTTGCTATATCCTGCGGGAACGCATAACCGTCAATTCCAGCCGACGTTGCTCTGACAGCATATATCTGTTGCACCACAGATTCGAGGTTATCGACCGGTGTAGTTAATGGTTGTCCCGGCTTAACGTATCGTGGGCCCGCAGGATCAAGCATGCCGTATATCGGAAGGACAGCCGTAACCGGCGGTGATTGGGGATGAGCCACTGTGGCGAGCGCAAGGTAACCACCGGCGCTGGAACCGGCAACAATCAGTCGGTTCGACCTAGCAAAGTGGTCTCGTACCCAATTCGTAGCGTCGACAGCATCTTGAAGAATGTCAAGACCATTGGCCTCCGGCATCAAGCGGTAGGATGGTGTAGCGTATGCCCAACCGCGTTGGTGGCAAGCGTTGATCAGCCAGTGCGGCGGAAACGTAGTCTTTTCACCAATCACCTACACTCGTTAGTTGTTATCTTGACGATGGGTAGTATCAACCAGTTACAAGATAGCCACCGTGGAAGTGGATGAGAGCGGTCCCGGAGTTAGGGTCATACCCTTCAGGGACATGCACATCGATCGTCAAGGACAAGCTTCCTGCAACTTTATACACGCTGGTTGATGTCTGGATTTGAGTTCCCATTGTCGGCTGTACTTTTTGACAGAAGTGATATTTACCTACTACGCCCGGAACACCTGGAACAAATATTAACCAGCTCTTCAAGGAAGAGATAACTTGTAACGGGTGGTCCTAGCCCTTGAAAGAGATGCTTGAATCGGATTTCTTTATCGGAGTGAGTTCGCAAATAGTTCCCATTCAAAGAATAACTGAGGGGACATCGGCAGAAAAATGAGATAATACCAACTACCCCCATATGTTCCGCTTTTATTCTAAATGCGTGTAAACTGATTGGCTAGTCGGAAATTCCCCTCCTCCCCCTTTATGGCTGTTTTGTAACCCTTCTACTCGGCTCTAGGCTAGGGGCTCGGGACTTAAGTTACACTCCGGTAGGTAACTGATACGCCGAAGAGTAACTGACATTATGGTAAGCACGTATTTAGGAGAATTACCGCGGAGAATTCCCACAATAAGCTGACATGAGTTGCCATAATTCTCGGGGTTATGATATGACAGGTCATGTTTATAGTTATCAAAGGAGCACTTTTCGGATTCGATGACTCGCCAATTCTATCAGTTACTTTTTGAAAAGCCTTGCAGCGAATCTGTCTGGTTCGGAGTTCACCCTCAGCACCACTTATTCAACTAATACATCATGTTGCGTGAAAGTACCTACCTAGGTAGGTAATATATTAGAGACAAGTTGTAACTTTAGTTGAAAATAAACCATCCATACGTACCTAGGAACCAAGAATGGCTCCTAACTCTAATATACCCATAGCGATAGGAACATATCTATCTTACACAATGGACTATTTGGAAGCCTCTCCTAGATCAAAAGTAGCTTTCATAGCTATAACTATTTTATTGTCGTTCCTCACCATATACATGGTTTATCAAAGACTTTTCCATCCGCTGGCAAAGTATCCTGGGCCCCTTCTTGCCTCTCTCAGCAATGGCTGGAAGGGTTATTACATCTACAAGCTAAGCCTACATGAACAACTTCTCAATGCGCACATCAAATATGGCCCTGTTATAAGGGTTGGTCCTAATGACTTACATTTCTGGGGTGCGGACGCTATTTCTCCAATTTACAAGTCGGGGAGACAGATGGCTAAGACAGAGTTCTACGATGGCTTTACTGCATTTAAGCCAAATTTGTTTGGCGGCAGGGATGAAGATGTTAGTTGCTCGGATTCCCAACTTAACATAATGTAGATTTAGGCTTGGTTAGACGCCATTGTACTAATTTGAGATAGATACACGCCCTACGCCGACGACAGCTATCACATGGATTCTCGCAAGCTTCCATATGGAAGATGGAGCCATTGATTGAAGGCCAGATGAAGATACTTATTGAAAAGTTGGAAAAATTAGCCCAAAACCAGGAGGTATTCGATTTCAAGCACCTAATCGCATTTTATGTATTTGACATCCTGGGCGAGGTTGCCTTTGGTCGTTCCTTCAATACTCAAATAAGCGAGGTGGCCCCTGAGATCCCTGCCATTAGCGACCATATCCTTCTATCAAGTCTCCTCGGCACCTTTCCGTTTCGTTTTTTCTTCAAGAGCATTATTCCCATGCTACCTATTCCCAGGCTCCGTCAGTTAATAGAGAGCAGGGGTAAACTTAAGGAGACTTGTGCCGATTGCGTGAAAACAAGAAGACAACAGGCATCTACTAACCGTTTGGATCTAATGCAACATCTGTTGGAGGCTAAGGATCCAGAAACCGGAGCTAAGCTAACAGACCTGGAAATTAATTCGGAGGCGTGGGCAATGCTGTGAGTTATATTGACATTCTATAAAAGGGGAACGTGGAGAATAACCTTCGCAGAATTGCTGGATCCCATTCGACCTCAGGGAGTTTAAGCTTGTTATTCTGGCACTTGCTTCATGACGATCAAGCTTTGAAACGAGTCGATGATGAAATTCGAGATACTCTTGGCGATCTTCCCGATGATAAGATTTCATATCCCATCAAGGGTCTTGAGTCTTCACTGAATTATACGGGAGTCTGTATCCAAGAGAGCTTTAGGATAAGCCCCGTTTTCACCATGTGCTTATGGCGACGCGTCCTCAACCCCGGAGGAGTTGATATAGATGGCTATAATATTCCGCAAAATGTTAGTTAAAAAAACTACTTGACTCCATGAGAATAACGTCTAATCACGTTCTTTGGCAGACGAATGTATCTATTTCGAATTACGCACTACACCACAATCCCAAAACCTGGGGAGCGGATACAGAAGATTTCTTACCCGAGCGATTCCTTGAGGCCGGCGGGAAGACGATGGCGAATAATCTCCTCCCATTCAGTATCGGCCACCGTATGTGCATCGGCAAACATCTAGCCATGACGAATATTTGGAAGACGCTGACTACATTGATCAATAAGTTCGATTTTCATCCTGTATCCGCAGAACGGCGGGTTGAGATGGAAAGTTCAGGTATCGGAGAGATGAGAGGGCCGTTTCTCTGCACAGTGACAATGAAGCACTGAGCTATCGAAATGATAGGACACGTTCAACAAGGCTAAAGCATATATGGTTAAATGGAGCGTGGATACCTGAGTTTTTGTTATCCCGCTCCAGGATAAAACTAAGAGTAACGTGTCGTTATGATATCTACTATAACATAAAGATGCTTTCCAAACTGAGATTGTTAGTGAAAAGCCCTCCTCTAGTTATAGTTTTGATTGGTCTATTAGCTATCCAATACTAGAAAGTCTCCTATCCCATATTTGCGGCCTCAAAACGTAGAATTTGATCTGCTAGGTGGCTCATATCCGATTTATCTAGCTTTGACTGCGGATTAAAAGAGCTAGAATCTGGAAGGAGGTTGCCGGGGGGATATGGATATGGATTTACATCCGAATTAGCCGTGTTCAGTTGAAGTCTTGCCAACGCAGCGAATTCGGGTGCCTGCTGCATGAATAATCCCTCACCTGAGAAGGTATCTATGCGTATATTGCATGCCTGCAATCGGTGCATGTTCCACTCCCAGATGTCCTCCCATCTGTCTATTGCCTTGAGGAGTGGCTGAGTATCAGGTGGGACGAAGACCGATATTGTTCGTTGATGGTATACCAAAGCAAGAAGAGCTATAAGAACCGATTAGTATATATGATCTCGATACCCATTCCTTACAATAGATTTCATATTATTCTAGGGATCACTTTACCATTAATAGCTACGAATAAGCTTAAACAGCTCGCTGGAAGAACGGCTTCGTAGTTTAACATGCCATCAGGGGTAGTTGTTAGAAGGCGTAATGCCTCAACTAAGGTGAGCATGCGTGGCGGAAGAGATCCAAGGCGTGTCAATTCGAAGAATTCCGACGCAGAAGCGGCTTGGAAGTAGACTTCTAGACATGGCAGCTCATTCGTCATTTCTTGAAGCGCCATTCTAGGGATGGAGTTATGGAATGTCAAAAAGCCACAGTCAAGGAGGAACACGTATGACACGATTCTTGGGCGAGGTTAGGTCGCATTCGGATCTCTAAGTATGAAATGATAATATAAACTTACCTAATTAATTCTTCACGGCGAATGAATTTCTTCCATCTAACATCATCCGGCTCTTCTAGTGACAGGTCGTGTTCATGGGTAGCATGGGGGATACCAAGAGATCTAACAGCCTACAGATAATCAATACCTTGTCAATAGTAGGTTAGGCAGGTTAATAAGAGCCTAATGGAGCCACTCACTGATACTAGGGCAGTAAACCTATAGCGCCTAATCCTTTGTTTAGCAACTTCGTTGCCTTCCCATTTCTGCATAATGCAGATGAAATACGCGGCTTGGAAAGTGGCGACGGCCCCCGAATTATGGACCTCGTCGACATCCGTATATCCATCACAATCAAAGATCTTGGAACTGAAGATAGCATTTTCGGCACTATCGAGCAAAAGTCTTCCTTGTTCTCTATGCTGTAGAAATGGTGACATGACTGCCCCCAACAGAACCATGGCCATTACTAGAAGAGGATGAGCAAAGGTGAGGTTGAAGGACGAGCGGTGAACGATTGGACAGTGGGGGTACCACCGTTCCCAGAAAATCACAAGTAGTTTTGGCATTTCTTCGATAGAAAAGATGTTGTTGGCAGCTGATGTTATCTGAGAGAAATTGGTACCCCGGGTAGTAGACTCAAGGAGTCGACATATCCCTGCGCCTTTAGAAATATACACGGCCCTGTAACTGTATACACCTACAGGACTCTGCGGTTGCATAGATGGCCTTCTGTAGTTATATGAGCTATTCACTCCCGTAGTACGAGTGAAATTTAATAAGAATTGGAGACGTATAGGACGTTGGATCCTTTGTGGAGGATGTTCTGTCGCGGGCATGAGCATAGTTAGATCTCCTACATAAGGCATCCCGCCGCTTAATTCGTAGTCTATGCCAAAGAATGGTAAGTCAATGAATTCGGTACCGACATTGAGTTCTTCGGGTTTAACAGGACCAGGTCCGGCAGCAGAGGTGAGGACTTCGGAGCCCGCGCTAGCTTCGGTCACTGGGGAGCCGCGTCTATAGTTGCATTGCTTTCTCCTTTCTGTACATTCAAGACATGGCATTTGAAGATCACATGCCCTCTTGAGAGTTGTACAACCTTCACAGGCTCGTTTCCGCCTGCCAGCTTGGATAGCCGGAGGCATGTCCACGCCACGTTGGACTCTAAGAGAGCATGACTTATAGTGTCTCCTTAAAGCATCCCTATAGTTATGATTAAGTCAACAGCTTAGCTGTAGTTACAAGTGGTGTCGCGGGAATATCTAACCCTCGTTTAAATTTGGCAGTACAGAATTCGCATGCAAAGCTACGATCTGCAGTGTCTATCGCATTTTATTAGCAGCAAATCGTCACGGTACACTATTTTGACAGGCAAGCAGATAGATATACGAACTGTGGCCGCATGTCTTTTAAGATGCTTATATCAACGAAAAGTCGTTAAACATATATGTCCGAATTTACGAGGGGTTATGCCCGAATTTATGAGGGTTATTGTTATAAGCTTTCTTTTTTGTAATAAGAAGTTTGTTTGTGCGCAGCTTTTTAGAGCTTTTTATTGGATGTATTTTTTAAAATAATAAGTTTTATTAAATTTTTTATTTTTAAAAAAAAATTAAAATATATATTTTTTTTGTATAAAACGTAGGTTTAAATTTTATATGTGTTTTTTTTTTTTTTTTTTACTTTTTTTTTAAGTGCCGAGTTTTTTTTTTAAATGTTAAGTTAAAAATGTTAAAAATGTTAAAAGTGCCGAATTAAAAACGTTAAGCCTTTTTTTTAAGTGTTAAGCTTTTTTTTTATTTTAAATGCCGAATTTTTTTTTTTATTTTAAATGTTAAGTTTTTTTTTTAAATGTTAAAAATATTATAAGTAAAAGTGTTATAAATAAAAGTGTTATAAATAAAAATATTAAGTTTTTTTTTTAAATGTTAAATTTTTTTTTACTTTAAATACCGAGTTTTTTTTTTATTTTAAATGTTAAGTTTTTTTTTTAAATATTAAAAGTGTTAAAAATGTTATAAATAAAAATGTTATAAATAAAAATATTATAAATAAAAGTATTATAAATAAAAGTGTTAAGCTTTTTTTTTAAATGTTAAATTTAAAATATTAAACTTTTTTTTTAAATATTAAATTTAAAGTGTTAAAAATGTTAAAAATAAAAGTGTTAAACTTTTTTTTTAAATATTAAAATAAAAACGTTAAAAATAAAAGTATTTAAAAATTAATAATAATAAATTTAAATTATTATAACATTTTATAAAAATACTTTTTTATTATATTAAATTTTTTCCATAGCTTAAATAAGAAAGTAATTTAATAAGCAATATTTAACACGTGCATAACTTTTTAAGCGATTTAATTGGGTGCACGACCTGTATATGTGAAGCATGGCTTGGCATTTTCGTCGAAAACCAGCGCGAAAAGCTAAAATAGCTTTGATTGGGTGCATCGCTTGAATGTGGGCCCGACTTTGATAAGATAACGCCACGTGACTTAACCACATGACCTGGCGATAGGCCACCAAAATAAAAGGGATAGACTTTTGCTTTCGCTTTTGATGGAGGCAAAGGCAGCGGCGCGAAGCGCCGCTGACTTTGCCTGTTAAGTCATGCGTTAATTAAAAAATAAAGGTGCGAGGTTAAGGAATCGAACCCGAAGCCTAGGAAGGTGTGGCCGGGATAACTTCGGGGCTATGGTATAGCCAGGCGATTACGTAAGGGTTGTTACGTAAACTTGGGCTATTGTGCAGCCCGGGGGGTTGCCTCTTGTTATACTTGAAGGACTTGGCGGCGTTTGGCTCCGTCATTGGTAATGCATTTCCTTCAGGCCTCGTTTCTACAATTTAAACCTTATAGTGCTATACAATTCGTTTATGAAATACCTGGCATATTTCTTTCATGAATGATATTCTCAAGTTTGTTGCTGGGCGATGTTTCCAGCGCGTATTGTGACTTGTAATATTGAAATGCACTAACGTTTAATATCGAGATGTCAACTATTTCGTCACGACGACTATAAGGGACTTCGAGAAGAAAAGGCCAAGGCCGCCCGATAATTCCGGTTCTCCTTTTCCGCGCACTTAAATCCCAACTGCATATTTTTAAATTCCATTAAGCCGTTAAAGGTATAGCGTACCAGAGCTGACGGGAGCTATGTATAAATGGTTTTAAATAAATATTTGTTAAATAAATTGATTTATTAAATTAATTAATAAAATAAAACATTATTATTTTTTTTTATAAACATTTAAAATAAATTTAAATGTTTAAATAACACGTAACAAGTAATCACGTGTTAAAATGTATTAAAATACATTTTATAATATTTAAAATAAAATTATAAAATAAAGTTATTTTTTATGACCCCGTTATAGTAAACCATTAATGTAATTATGTTAAAATTAAAAAAATTAACTACATTATATTTAATAAAATAATATAATAAATAACGTTAAATGTATAATACGTTATATATAAAATAAAACATTAATTAATTAAATTAAAAAATTTTATTATTAATTTAATTTTTAATTATTTTATATATATAATATATAATACATTTAAATAATTTTACGAAAATAATAATTTAAACGTTATAATTAATATTATTTTATAATTATAATTAATGTAAAAATAATGGATTAAATTATATATTTATACGATATATATTAAATATTATATTATTATTAAAATATTTAAAGTTTATTTAAAATGATTTTATTAAAAATTTTTTAAAAAATATTACGTATTTGTTTTTTAAATAAACGTTATTTAATTTTATTATAATATAATAATTAAAAAACCGATTTAAATGTAATTTAAATCATTATTTTCGCATTAATTAAAATTATAAAATAATATTAATTATAACGTTTAAATTATTATTTTTATAAAATTATTTAAATATGTTATATATTATATATATATAATTTTATTAATAAATAATTGTAAGTTTTTAATTTGTTTCGAAATTTTGTTATAAAAAATAAAGGTTAAAAAAAGATTAAAAGTTAAAAAAGGAAAAAAAAAGGTAAAAAAAAAAAAAAAAAAAAAAAAAAACTGTTTGTTAAAATTTTCCGAAAAAACCGCTTAAACTTTTAAGTCCCGGGTGCGGTTACCTTGTAAAAAAAAAAAAACTTTTTTTTTATTTAATTTTTTTTATTTTATTTTATTTATTTTAATTTTTTTTTTATATTTTTTTAATTTTTTTTATATTTTTTATATTTTTTATATTTTTTATATTTTTTATATTTTTTATATTTTTTATATTTTTTATATTTTTTTTTTTTTTTATTATTTTTTTATTATTTTTTTTAATAAATTTTTTATTATTTTTTTATTAAAAATAATTTTTATTTATTTTTTTTTTTATTTTTTATTATTATTTTTCATTATTATTTTTATTTATTTTATATTATTTTATATTAATTTTTTTATTTTTTTTTATTTTTAAATATTAATTATTTTTTAAATTAACCATTTGTAAAGTTATTTTAAATGATTTTAAACCCGATATTTTTAAAACGGGTTTTATTTATTTATTTTATTTACCTTAACGCCACAAACGCCACGTAACGCGTGGTTCGTGTGTTTATATTTATAAATTATAAATAAAACATTTAAAAATATTTGGTTTAAAATTATATAACGTTACAAAGGTTTTTAACGGTTTTGTTAATAATAAAAAAATTAAACATTATATTTACAATAATTTAATATATTATAATAACGTATAAAATAACTTTAATTTTAATAATTTAAAATTAATAATATATTTAATTTATTTTTTTAACTTTTTTATATATTTATATAATATCGCGTTTTTATATATTAAATTTTAACGTTTAAAAATTTTTAACGTTTTAATTATTTAATACTTTTAAACTTTATGTAAAATATTTAAATATAATAATTTAATATTTTATAACCACGTATAAAATCTTTTTTTTTAATAATTTAAAGTTATTATTTAAGCTTTTTAATTTTTTTTATATATTAATACGGTTTTATATATTAAGTTTTAACGTTTATTATAATTATTATTACGCGTTATAATTAACGCGTTATAACCGTTATAATATAACCGTTATAACCATTTTTAATATTTTAAAAAACTTAAAACGCATAAATTTAATCGATAAATTTAATAATAAAAATAATATAATTATATAATTAATTATTATTTATTATAAAAACGCGTTAATATTATTATTTTAATAATTTTATTAATGTTATTATTAATGTTATTATTTTAAAACGTTAAACGTATAATTTTAATGTATAAAGTTTTAAATTTATTTTAAACCATAAATTTAAAATTATTTTAAAAAATTGTTTTAAAGTTTAATTGGTTAAAAAAAAAATATAATTAAAAAAAGTATAACTTTATAAATAATCTCGAATTTATGGTTTAAGTTTATTAAAATAATTATAAAGTTATTATTATTTTAATTAATTATGTAAATATATGGTTATAAAGTTAAAAGTTATAAAATTAAATGTTATAAAATTAAAAATTAAAAGTGTTAAATAAATGCATTTAATAAAAACACATTACCGGTGTAAAAGTTAAAAACAATACATTTAATCAATTAATTTTAAAGTGTAAAAATTAAAAAAAAATATATTTAATTAATTAATTTTAAAGTTTAAAGGTTAAAAAAAATGCATTTAATTAATTAATTTTAAAATGTAAAAGTTAAAAAAAATACATTTAATAAAAACATTTAAATAAAACGAAAACGATATAAAATACGGTTAATTAAATTTATAAATGTTAAAATTTATTAATTTATTAATTATTTACGTATTTATTATTAAAGTATTTTATAATGTATTTTTTTATCAATTATTTTAATAATTTTTAAAAAGTTTAAACGTAATATTTTTTTAAAAAAAAATTAATTAAAATTTAAATTAATAATAAAATCTTTAATTTAATTAATTAAATTTACATTTTAATAATTTAAATAATAAAAAAAAAATTTTTTTTAAATTTATAAAAAAAATAATTATATAATAATATTTATATAATTATATAATTTTTTTAATATTTTTATTAATATTAAATTAAATTATATATAATTTAAAATAAAACTTTTGTTATTTTATAATTAAAATATTAATATTTTTTAAAAAAGTTTTAAATAAATATTAATTAAATTATTATAATATAAAATTAAAAAAAATATATATTATTTTATAAAAAGTATATACGTAAATAATCAAGTTTATAATTTATATTATATATTTATTTTAAATGACTTTAAATTTAAATCTCGTGGAAACGGGTTTTACCCGTTTTAACGCCACAAGCGTTACGTAACGCATGGCCCGTGTAATTGTATTTATAAGTTACGGGCGAAACGTTTTACAAATTTAAGTTTAAAGTTGTTTTAAACTTGTAAAAAACATTTGGCATAAAATTATTAATAAAAAATAAAAAATAACGTTTTTAATAATTTAATAAATTATAATAACGTACAAAAAAGCTTTTTTTTTAATGATTTAATGTTATTGTTAATTTTTTTTATTTTTTTAACTTTTTTTATATTTATATAACGTTATGTTATTATATATTAAACTTTAACGTTAAAAAAAACATTTAATAAAAAAAATGGTAAAAAATTAATATAATTAATAATAAATACAATTAATAAATTAATTAATAATATAATATTACGTATAAAATATTTTTTATTTTAACTTTAATTTAATAATATTATTATTTAAATTTTTTTTTTTATATATTTATATAATTTTATTTTTTTAAATATTATGTTTTAACGCGTGTTATAACGTGTGTTATAACCGATACGTTACGACCGATGCGTTACAACCGATATAACCGATATAACCGATGTTACGGTTAATGTTATAATTAATATTAATTTAAAACACGTATGTTTAATTAATAAAATTAATAATAAAATTAATAATAATAATTATATAATTTATTATTTATTATAAAAATGCGTTAACATTATAATAATTATGATAATAATTTTAATAATTTTTTATATTATAAATTTAATTTTTAAAAAAACGGGTTTTAAAAAAACTTTAAATTAAAATTAAAATATTTAAAATGTAAAATAAAGTAAAGATTTAATTAATTAAAAAGTGATGTGGTTAAAAAGGTATAACTAAACGAACGAATATCTTAATTTTGGTTTAAAGTCACCTAAAATAACTATATATTTAATGTTACTATTACTTTATTAAACATAATGCAACCAATTTTCTTGATTTTGGCACAGTTGCACTAATGGTCCACCATACCCGCTGCCCTTGTATGTACATAAACTGATAAGCTTTAACCACGAGATATGATTACCTAAGGTGCATCCTCCCCATGTATTCCTCTCGCTTCTTTTTAATCCAACCAAAAGTCAGCCTCATTTTGGCTATCCATTCTAGAACAATGCTGTTCTTCCAATTAAGTCTTTTACGTTAGGGTCGGCAGGTCTCTGTAACAATAATTTAAATAGGTCCTGACTATCTCGTTTCGTCGGCGCGAGAAATAAGGGACTCGTGTCAAGTTTTGTCTCTCGAACGTTCGGATCTGCGCCATTTTCGAGCAGCAAGACAGCTGCATCATTATGCCCGTTATGCACTGCCATGTGCAAGGCCGTCGCTCCAGAGTAGTCATCGAGCATATTGACTTTGGCCACCTTTTTCAGTAATGGCCGGACAACACCAGCCGTATGGCTTCTTTTCTCGTCATTGTGCACACAAAAGAAGTAGGCCAATGCATGCTTCTCGAAGGTTTGTTGCTTAAGAATCTTGAGACGCCGATCGAGTCCGTCAAGTAGCGATATCGCCAACATCGTTTCATCCGTCCACCACTTGTTAAAAGTGGAATATGGTGTTTGAAGGTCCTATGAATCTATCTCGACATCTTCATTTGCCTTAGGTGGTTCAAGCATCCACGACCCGGTGCCAGGTAACAGGCTACCTTTGTCCATTTCAATCCGCTTTCTAGTGGCTAGAGGATCTACCACACGAAGATCTCGAAGTAAATCGAGGGTCTTGGGATCGGGTACGCCTGATACAACTATATTAGAATTATCTTTAGAGAAGCTATGCCTGCCTGTGTCTCATAACATATTCTTCATTTGAAAACTGTCTTACACAGCGCAGACACTTACTTACCTGGTATTTCGACGATTTTCGGATTAATGATGACCTCCCTCCAGGGAACCAAAAAGGCCTTGAAGTAAGACGCCGCAGTAGCCGCTGCGTACGGCTGCCAGTTCTTATTATTGTGACTATCCGAGTAGTTGCAAACTCCTTTGATGATGAAGCAAGGAATTTTCTCCCATACCCCGGCCCCTTCCATTTCCAACGCGATCAAACTATATTCCCTAGCGAGTCTATCCCGCTCAGTACTAGACTTCATGACCTTATCCGCTGATCCAAACTTGCCGAAGTGCACTTGAGGTTGCGTAGGAAACTCTCTTGGCTGCCGGTTCACGAGCTCGTGGCAACCTAACGTCGCACAATCCAACGTTTCGGATGCTACACATGGAATGTCGTTATCATGCACACACTTATCGCGAGACTCGCATACCCCTTTCTCGTGATGTTTATGCCGATGAGTTGATACAAAGAGATTGTCCTTGTCCATTCCAGGGTGCTCCGGCTTGGTCTGCCCCGGAATCAAGGACGGAGAGGCAAGATACTTAATAGCCCTCTCCTGCAATCTAAACATATCCCATTGGCCTTGCATCTTATTCAGATATCCCCGGAGTTCTGTATTAGGCCTACTTCCCAAGGGATTGGTTGGTCGAAGCCCATGCGTCATCTGCCGCCCGAGACCATATTCGACCATCTCAGTACTGATAATGACATCGCCTAGCATGATATCGGCCGTTTTGTTTTTGGGCATTCCCCCACACACGCCGACCACAAAAGCAACTCTGATATCCGGAAAGGTGTGTCGAAGATTGGCTGCCACGCCCGCTGAGTTACCTATACCATAGTTTGCCATGTGCGCAAGGACAACGTTGTGATGACCTATCTTTCCCGTAGTGTAGACGTTGGTATCCCATTGCGCCTTTCTTATCATCGTTGGAGGGTCCCCGTGTTCCTCTAAAAATCCGTCAAAGACAGCCTGTACGGCATCACATTCCACCTTCAAAGCACATATTATGGCGATCTGGAAGTCATGCACTGACAAAGCCATCAATAATCGGTTAGGGATGATTAATTATCAATTCCGAATATAAGACCGTTAGTATACGTTAATCTTCATTACGCATTAGTAAACAGAGCATATTAACGAGAATATCTCATAGCTGATATATACCTACCCGAAGATAGCAGTACTCTTTCTAGCACTATTCCAGCAAGTTTCGTAAACGGTCGAGTTAATGTATAGCTGAGGTGGTGTAAAAATATAGAGGATGTATGGCGGTTATTTCAAAAGATATAATAGAGAGCGGGGGAGAGTCCTTGAACGGGAGCATGACGAAAGCATACATGTTGGTTACATGTTGGTAGTATTGCAGATACCGCGACGAATCATACCAGGCTCTAACTGTTTCTCCTCTCTCCCATATACTACCCATTCAATATCTGTAGGCTGGCAGTGGAGTGTTTCCTAATTGGCTTAGGGCCATCCTCTACTTACGCTTCATCCCAATTATATAACAAGTAATCATGCATATCGATAGTCAGCTTATCTTGTAGACGATGGCGGTCTACAAAATAGCTTCCTTGGCCTATTTTCGTTTGCATATACACATCCGCAGAAAGCCTATGCCCCGTTACTAATAATAAGAAAAGGATTGTAAAATATAGCCTTGATTGAGTCTTTAATTAGCTACTCGGGGTTTATCGGGGGGGCCGAATGGACTACTACTCCGCCCATCCCCATTTTTTGGTGGTTATTTGGTTTACTGAAGGTGGTTGAGGAATAGGGGAACAACAATCAAAAACCAGCAATATAAGCTAGAACTAATTTAATAAATAGGAACCACAAACTTGGCCAAAGGTGATGTTTTGAATTATTCCATCTCGCAAGGCACTTCTCATTAAGTAGATACAGCGTTAAAAATCATACAATTGAACCAGCGACAACATTGCTCTCTTTCATAAGTTGGCAACCGACATTAGTATAAATTGAAAATCTTAGAAGATGTTGGCTTTTTACGCTTAATATACATGTTTACCTCCTAGGTACCTAGGCATACCAGGTTTAAACACAGTTGAAATTTAGGTAGCTGTTATACTGAGAACTCTTCTAAACAATCAAAAGAACCCGAATTTGTTTCTTTGATATAGATATATCCGATCTAAAGGCGAGTTAGTCCCAATAGCAGAAAATGGCCATAGTTCTAGAAACTAGACGGAAGAGAAGAAAGACTAGTGACAATGTATCGAAGAGTTATAACTGCATGTTAGGATTCTAAATGAGACACCCAAAACAGAATATACTTTCAGTATTATGTATAGCCGTTGGATTTTCCAATCACCCTTTAAAGTTAATACCACATTAGTGTGGCTATAACTACTCCTATATTAGTGGGAAATCCGTAGCCTATGGTAATAATAATATAGCTTGATAATACAGTCGGTTGCCATAGCCATTAGAATAAGTCTCTTATAAGTGAATCGAATAATTATTAAGCAAAGAAATATTTATCCTAGAATTCGATGTCAGTTATTAGATCATAACATCTTCTTGATTATGCGCGTGGATAGATTATCCGAGCTAGCTCATTGGGTAGGTCTAGAGGCGCAACGAACGATCACGCAACTTTATCGCCGAGCACGTCAACGCCACTTGCAGGGTCCCGCCGCAACACCGCGTAATCACGGTAGGGATAGCATAGCACGAAAGAGCTCTAAATGAGGACTCTTAATGGGCTCCGGACCTCGTAGTCGTTAGTCGGCGTTATTGTCAGCTTATTGGTTAGTATGGATAGTTATGAGCTGAGATATCGCGATACATAAGGAGCTTCATTTTGACATGAAAATGAAAATGAAAATGAACCTTCGTCGCCGTCTATTTAATTGTTGTCCAGATTGAGCCATTCTCTTTTGGACTTCATTATGGCGCTTGAGAAATCTTTTGAGCCGGCTGTTGAGGCTCACCCTAGCGATGAAGAGGCCGCCTCCGTGAATGTCGACGAATCTACCGTCGCGGATTGGACTGAGGCGGAGGAGCTCGCCGTGAAGCGGAAGTAAGATATCACTCTCATTGGGACTTTGGCTCCTAACCTGAGCAGTTGATTGCGAATTTCTAACACCCTATAGACTCGACTTCATTCTACTACCTATCCTGGGTCTTGCATTCTTTGCGCTCCAAATAGACCGAGGAAACATCTCAAATGCCCTAACAAGCACTATTACCCAAGACCTCGGCATCGATACGAATCAGATCAATGTTGGAGGCAGTATTCTGTCAGCAGGCATCGTCTTGTTGGAAATTCCCTCCAACATCCTGTTGCAGCGCATTGGGCCTCGGAGGTGGCTGTCCACTCAGATTATAGCTTGGGGACTCGTCGCTACCTTCCAGAATTTCATCAAGAACTACGGTGGATATCTCGCTACGCGTCTGCTGTTAGGTTTGGTACGCATGATTAATCTATGGTCCCCTTCTACTTTCGCGTACGGTGCTAATGCTGAGCTATGTAGTGTGAAGCGGGCTTCATTCCTGGTGCGCTATATACAATGTCGACTTGGTACAAGAAATCGGAGACCAGTCTACGAGTCTCGATCTTCTTCCTCGGGAATCTCCTCGCTTCGGCCACTACTTCACTAATCGGCGCGGGTATTCTTAGCATGGGTGATCGATACGGTGTAGCGGGTTGGAGATGGCTCTTTATAGTTGAGGGGGCCATCACAATAGGAATCGGCATCATCTTCATTCTCTTCCTTCCACCATCAGTCGGCAACGGGTCTCCGCTCATTAGCTTCGGTCGGTGGTCGTACTTCAACAGGCGCGAGTCGTACATACTAGTGCGTCGCGTACTACTTGATGATCCAGCTAAGACTACGAACCATCTACGCATCTCAGGTAATGATATCTGGACGACGGTTAAGAACCCTCGGATCTTGTTTCATATCGTTATCACGACTACTGCTACAATACCAGTGAGTGCGATAAATACCTACGGTCCGAGCGTGATCAAAAGCCTGGGCTATGGTACCGTAAGGGCCAACGCCATGGCTAGCGTTGGCGCTTTCATCGCCGCGATCATGACAGTATTTTTGGGTTGGGTGTGCGACACGACTAAGAGAAGAGGACCAGCATTGCTAGTCGGCGCGATTTGGAGCTTGATTGCGTTTTCTTGCCTAAGAGAAGCATGGAGGTGGAGCGCCGGGAGGAAGTACGCAGCTGTCGTATTCTCGATGGCTATGAATTCCACAATCCACATTCTCAATGTCGGTTGGCTATCGGTGAACTGTCAGCGGCCACAAGAACGAAGTGTTGCTATGGCGTAAGCTCCTTTCCCAAGAACTCCCCGTTATTTTCGACTTCATCGCTAACCCTAATACTTAGAATGATTATAATGGGTGCGAATTCCGGCGGCATTGCAGGAAGTCAGGTATTCCGGACTCAAGACGCCCCTCTTTATCAGAATGCCTTTACGGCCTGTCTAGTACTTTCTGCTGTGGTTGCGGTAGAAATCATAGGACAAAGTGTATGGTACTTCGTTAGTAACAAAAAGTTAGACAAGCAGGGAGATGCTCCTGTCGTAACCGGGAAGACGGATGAAACGCCTGACGGGCAGAGAGTTGAGTTAGTAAGAAAATGGAGGTGGACGTGGTAGGCGGTGCTTTGACGAGAACCAAGTTTTGGATCTGAATACATGAAAATGAATGTTCTTTGCGCTATTCTTGTGAGTTGGTTAAGTGAAAGGCTAGGTCATTATATTTTCGACGAATGAAATCATGAACGGCCTTCAACTCTGATGCTATGCACTTAAGCGTACGTCGCTGGTTCATTAGCTATCTGGATGTCTCCTGGGATATTGGCTTGAATAAGTTTAGGAATCTAACTTCGTAACTTCTAAATGGAAATTTATAGGCATATCTATAATATACGGGTAAAGAAGTTGCAGAATATTGAGAGGTATTGCTCTATGTTAAGCAAGCTGTAACGTCTATTTGCAATATGAGCTCGGGATTAAGAGTTGGATCCGAAGCTTGGCAACTTAGGACCGGAAACAAGACGGTAGTAAATAACGCCAATCGGCTAATTAGGGTCAGCACTCAACTTCTCTACCACAAACAGGTACATATACAAATTTAGCAAATCTCAGCTTTCAACGAATCAGATCTACAAGGCTCTCAAAGAGTTATATCGGGCTTGTGGTTTAGTGGTATAATACTCCCTTAGCATGTGCGTGATTTTGAGATCACTGGTACAACTTGGGAGTGGTCCGGGGTTCGATTCCCCGCGAGTCCATCATTAGGAGGTTAGATTCCTTCTATACCATCTTTTTGCTTTTTGCACTTTTCATTATCAGGTTGGCTATGAAGCTTTCAGTATCATCTCTGGTGTCTTCGCACTTGAAAACAACGGATCTAATCTAGCTTCTAGTAATCATGTTCTTTTTCTTCTTATTTTTTTAATAAATATTTTTGTTATCCCCCACTCTCGAATTCAATTTCTGAGTATCACATCAACGGTAGGCTAGGACCCGCACGGCACACGTAGCAGTTGTTTTTCTTTTTCTTCAAAAATACCATTACCTAATAGGGGGAAAATTTGGGAAATATCATCTATCTAGATTATGAAGCAACGAAGGATTTTCCCAAACAGCTATTAAGATTAACAGACCCGAGTGAAGCTATATCATTATGATATTGCGTAGAATGCGAATTCGTATTCGGACCCTGCACTGAGCAAGCTAGTGATAATATCACGATAGTTAATTCACATGCCAAATCCGAAATGCTCGGGACACAAAACGGCGTTAAAGCCACTAGACGCACCAGCCACGTCGCATCTTTTCCTCTGTGGCTTGTCGGGTTCGTATTCGGGTTTAAGGGGGTGAATTGTTCGAAATTGCGGTAGAGCAGGAACGGGACGAAGTGACCCCTGTCAACGATTTCTTCTATGTAATGCAGGGTTAGTGCAAAATTATTGGTCAAACATTCATCAGTGTAGACTTAGCTCAAACTACGTACCTAAGATTGGCTAATGAATTGGAGAAGGGTCCTCTAGGTCCATTTTATCCAGGCTTAATCAATTGTCGATAACGACCCCAGAAAAATAATAAAATGTCGCCCGTCCCCTTTTCTTAGTATACCGCTTCTCGACAATCGTAACATCCTCCAACTACTATTTCCATACGGTTTCTGCTCTTAATACCATTATATTCCGCTACAAACTTGTAATAATCCTTTTTTAAACCAATTCCTTCTTTCGATCTTTCAGCATTACACGTCAACTCGACGCCACTCAACATGGCACCCTCCAAGATTGAACTCGAGAGGCAGGACAGGGCCCGCGATGCCGCCTTCAACAAGGCGATGCACGGAGAAACTGCTCAGGCCACAGGTGGTTTCCGCGCCATGATTGGCAAGGGTGGTAAGGGCACCGATGCGCAGAGGGCTGCTGTAGACGAGTACTTCAAGCACTGGGACAACAAGGATGCCAAGGACGAGACTGAGGAGGACCGCGCTAAGCGAACAGCCGAATACGCTACCCTGACAAGACAGTATGTCAGACAATTTCCATGACACCGCATTTCTTGATACTAATATGTCTCAGTTACTACAACCTCGCCACCGACTTTTACGAGTATGGTTGGGGCCAATCCTTCCACTTCTGCCGATACTCCCTAGGCGAGAACTTCTATCAAGCCATTGCACGACATGAACACTACCTCGCGCACCAGATCGGTATTAAGGAGGGCATGAAGGTCCTAGATGTTGGTTGTGGTGTTGGTGGCCCCGCCCGAGAGATCGCCAAGTTCACTGGTTGCCATATCACTGGCTTGAACAACAACGACTACCAAATCCAGCGTGCCACCCATTACGCCGCGAAGGATGGTCTCTCGAACCAGTTAACATTCGTCAAGGGTGATTTCATGGTAAGTCTTAGCCCGAGTAATTGCGGTCTCGCATGACTTTCGCCAGTATATGGTCTAATATTTTATAGCAAATGGACTTCCCGGACAACAGCTTCGACGCTGTTTATGCCATCGAGGCTACCGTTCACGCACCCAAGCTCGAGGGTGTCTACAGCGAGATCTTCCGAGTGTTAAAGCCCGGTGGCATTTTCGGTGTGTACGAATGGCTCATGACGGATGAATACGACAACAATAACCTAGAGCACCGTGAAATTCGCCTTGGTATTGAGCAGGGTGATGGTATTTCGAACATGGTTAAGATCTCGGAAGGTCTCGAAGCTATGAAGATCGCTGGTTTCGACTTGTTACATCACGAGGATCTTGCTGACCGCCCCGACCCTATTCCGTGGTACTGGCCACTTGCTGGCGACTGGAAGTACATGCAGTCAGTGTTCGACACTTTCACCATCGCACGGATGACATGGTGGGGTCGTATGCTGGCGCATAACTTCGCGGCCTTCCTAGAGCTGACCCGTTTGGCCCCGGCGGGTACCAAGAAGACAGCGGACAGTCTGGCTCGCGCAGGTGACTGCTTAGTTGCCGGCGGTGCTAAGCATCTCTTCACGCCTATGTACCTGATGGTTGGAAAGAAGCCAGAGCAGAAGTAAGAGTTACATGACGAAAGGGGTATAACTCTTGGAGGTGAGGGTGAACGAGGTGCTTATAAGCACAATAATGAATAAAGACGTAATGTCCACGCCTACTAATATTATTAATACGAACTTTCGGGGTCCTGAGAGGTTGATTCTGGAGAAATGGCCTTGATTCCTTTGTATATATTACAAAGAGGCATACTCATGAGTAGAGTACATCATTTCGCAGCATATATTAGCGTCTGAAATAGAAGAATTAAACAACAATTTTCTGCAGTTTCAATGCAAACGGGGTGAATAATATTTAGATTAGTGACTACTTGTTTTTAAGCCTGCCATAAATTTATCTACAGGGCTCTAGATATGGAGGGAGATAACGGATTACCCCCAACGGAGGGATTCCCCAATTCACTCCGTTACGGCGTTACTCGGCGAATCCTAGATACACCACCAGCAAGTCAAGTACCTTCTAATCAAGACCTATTTTAGAGGCACGCAGTAATGCATCAATAAAGATAATGTTGATATAATATAGCCAGATTTGGTCTATCTTATTATATCCCCTATCTAGGTGCTTGTTCACATTATAGAAATGTAGTGGTTGATTAAATAGAGCATGGTAGGTACTTTGATATAAACCAGGTAAGGCTGTTCGATAAGGGTCCAGGAATTCAAAGCTCCGATAGCTCACTGAAGCAAGCAAGGGCTAAACCCGATATGGAATAGCGCGGCTTATCGCCCTCAACAAGCTGTTCCTATTCCATCCGAAAAAAAGTTGGGAGAACGAACGCGATTTGATAGCAACTCCAAAAAAGGCTGACGGTAAAAAATCGCTCTTTAATTCTTCCCCATCACTACCGCCGTCAACAACGATAACCTTCGCCAACCACGTCCATCTTCAGTCGGCAGGGATTTCAATCTCAAATTGAATTCCATTCTCCTTCGCCTCTCTAATTCCTCCTCAGAATGTCGCGATACTTGCGTCCGGCGGCTAGGTTAGCTGCCTCTGCACGCACCGCCGCAGTCCCCCGAACTATTCCCCGGTTTGCTCCCGCTTCTTTCGCCATTTCTCAACGGAGAACGTTCGCAGATGTAAAGGGTACCAAGGAGTACACTGTCCGTGATGCCCTCAACGAGGCTATGGCCGAGGAGCTCGAGGCCAATGAGAAGGTTTTCGTTATCGGAGAGGAAGTTGCCCAGTACAACGGCGCATACAAGGTTACGAAGGGCCTCCTAGATCGTTTTGGAGAGAAGAGAGTTATTGATACCCCGATTACGGAAAGTGGTTTCTGTGGTTTGGCCATCGGTGCTGCGCTGAGCGGTTTGGTTCCTATCGTGAGTAAAATTATATGCGCCCCCGAGATTTACTGGCAAGGGCGGAAAGAGACTAATTTGTTGCGCAATATCTAGTGCGAGTTTATGACTTTCAACTTCGCCATGCAGGCTATCGACCAGATCGTCAACAGTGCTGGCAAGACGCTCTACATGTCCGGTGGTATTCAGCCCTGTAACATCACGTTCCGCGGCCCTAACGGCTTTGCCGCCGGTGTCGGCGCTCAGCACTCTCAGGACTACAGCGCTTGGTACGGATCTATCCCCGGTCTTAAGGTTGTTTCTCCCTGGTCTGCCGAAGATGCCAAGGGACTGCTAAAGGCTGCTATCCGTGACCCCAACCCGGTCGTCTTCCTTGAGAACGAGCTTATGTACGGTGTTTCTTTCCCCATGTCCGAAGCCGCCCAGAAGGACGACTTCGTTCTTCCGTTCGGCAAGGCCAAGATCGAACGCCAGGGCAAGGATCTGACTTTGGTCTCCCTTTCTCGTACCGTTGGTCAGTGTATGGTTGCGGCCGAGGCCCTGAAGAAGAACTACGGTGTTGAAGTGGAAGTTATCAACTTGCGATCAATAAAGCCTCTGGATATCGAGACCATCGTCAAATCGGTTAAGAAGACGCACCGCCTGATTTCTGTTGAGTCCGGTTTCCCCTTCGCTGGTATGGGCGCTGAGATTCTCGCCACGACCATGGAGTATGCTTTCGATTACCTAGATGCCCCTGCCCAGCGAATCACCGGCGCTGAAGTCCCCACACCGTACGCCCAAGGCCTAGAGCAGATGAGCTTCCCGACGGAAGATCTCATTGAGAAGTTTGCCGCGAAGGTGCTACGTGTATAAAGCATGAGATGATATGAGATGAAACGAGGAAAACCATAGAAGAGGAGTTGGAGGCATGAGCAATGTACAATATTAATCGATTACTGCCTGGACGAACTGTCACCCGGATTAGGTGTTTCGAAAATGGCGGAGTGATTCCCACGACGAAATGGATACATTGATTTAGACCATCTTCCAGTCTCTTCGAGATCTTCCTCCGCGGTCCAGGTGATTCTCGCATGAATGTGCTATTAGAAGCGGTGTGTGTCTAAATGCGTGAGGATGCACTTAACGAGTCAACATAGTTAGCCAAAAGTAAAGTGCTATATGTAAAATTAGGTATCCAGTAAAACGCAAGGGTGGCTTGATGGGATGGACCCTGTTGTGTAACGCGCATTCAGACAAACTGGAACTAACTGGCTGGTTTGATCCGCCCGGTTGGAACCTACGCGGCGTCCGGGGTCGACCGCGCCTGCACGCCGTTTTGACAGTTTAGAAGCGGGAGTAACGACCTACCTATTTGTCTAGTCAAACTTGATTATATGCAGGGAGATATGACATAATACATAGACTTACATATTTAACTCTTACATTTCCGAACTTAAACCTTTGGTCGTTCATCAAATAAGCATTACATCTGACCTGACGAAAGCAACAAACATATTCATTTCGGAGGTTGGTAGCAGTGTGAAATGCCCTAGCGCAAGTACACATATTCTATCCACGGAATAGCACTTTGCGGGTTTTACAGCGGGCAAACAGTGCTCCACGCTCCCCAGACGACTTACCAAAGACCTGGTTAATGGAAGAGCATGCCTTACTCGTTGTTGATAACTCCATGTATTGACCTACTGCCCAAGTCTCTCATACGAAAGAAACAAGGGTTCATCAGCACGTTGGAGGCGTCGAAATTACCTTGCAGGGCAATATCTTTATTACCACCAACCCGGCTAACCAATTAACAGCGCCCGAAGCCCAATTTTATGTCGCGATTGGTTCATGTATCCAAAATCCAACCCTTCGTGGTTTAAACTGCCTTGCGTTTTTTCCTTCACCCCTACACTATTTTCCCCAATTATGTACGATAACCAATGTAACGGGAAACCCCAGGAGAGAACAGTTGCTGACCGCCTCGAGTCGATCCCATTGTTCCGGGACGCTACCTAACTACCGTCGATGGTTTTGGGGAGGGGAGAAAACTTACCACTCTGCTGGTCCACACGGACCCATCTGCCCATATCAAAACAGGCATAACAGATGGTACTTGTGACCGTGGGCAAATTTGGCTGCGCGTCGCTGTAGTCCGCGATAGTCTTAGTACGCTGGATACCTGCAAAATTAGGCGGGAGGTCTTGTACTATTTTCTTACGGGTTTCTAATTGGTCGAAATCCTAGTGAAGATCAGAACTGGTAGTTTCTCACAAGTCGACCTCGAAGCAAGAGGGGAGATCTCGGGATACATACACCTTTTCGAGTTATTCTCATTCGGATTCTTTGTGCGACGTGAGGATTACCCATTCGCGAGTCCCGGGGTCTTTTATTATTATCTTTTCACTCTTTTTCTCACGGAGCATCCATGAATCCGTCGACGACCTTCTTTCCCATCGTTTTGCGTGTTTGCGTTGGATATTAATGTGTTATTGTTAGTGGGATCTTTCTCATTCGCCCGTTTCCCGCGTGTCGGACAACGACCTCGCTTGGAGCGGAACGGAAACGGGAAGCTAATCTAAACCGTAGTGTCGAGACACCATGACGGATAGCTGGAGGCCGACTAGCGCAAGGTCCAGCGGCTCTAGTCCGTTGAAACCGCCTGAACAAGCGGAACTTGTAGCCGAGCCAGATCAAGAAGATGAGGTACGATATACTGGACCTGGGGTAGTGGGGGCTGGCATCGCCGGTAGCCGATCCACGAAGGGTGATGCTTTATGACGGCTTTCTCATACCATTCTTAGTTAAAAGTGAAAGCAGCTTCTGACATTCTAGTTGGAGTCACAGGAGTATCAATATGATGACGACAGGGATAGAGATTCAGCACTAGGATCAGATATGTTAGTTCTCTTCCTTCTAGCGACTTATACCCAGAGAACACCAATGAAGATAAGGATAGAAACGGGGAACAGCTTGTTCTTACTACTGACACTCATAAGCAGAGCGAGCAGCACTAATTCCATCGCGTCGAGCATTTTGGACTACCGGACGATTCAAGGGCGAACATTTCACAGCGACAGACACAACATCAACTACTTTACCCCGAATGACGAGCAGCAAGTCCAGTCTATAGATATCAGGTACGTATCTTATAGCCCTATGTCTCATTCCAGCATGGTCCAGAGGAGGGATCTCAGACACCGATCTTCGTGTCTAGTCTAGCAGTTAGACCAGTGTCGCGATCTTGCAATTTTCGGGGTCGTGTCTGACTGATATGCTGCGTTTACTCTCATAGCCACCACTACCTTACCTTGTTGCTGGAAGATAGACTTTTCATCGCGCCAATACCAAGCCATGTCCAGGTTTGTCAAACCCCTTCTTACGTTAAGCCTCCAATTTATTCAGTCGTGGACTACCAAGATGCTAATGCCCTCCCCCCTATTAGAGTGTACTAGACATCGGAACCGGATCAGGTGAGTAGCCAACCCCCACCTCATTCATATCGATGCTTCAGTATCTAACCGATATATTCAGGGATATGGTCTATGTGCGTACTACGATAATTAAGTCATCTTCTAACAATCCTAATCTGCCCTATTCCACGCCTACTCTCAAACCCCTAGCCGTATCTGCGAAATTTTGGCCCTATTGCTCACGTTATGACCCGAGCAGTGACTTCGCAGAGCAGTACCCAGATGCCCAAGTAATCGGGACGGACCTCTCGCCCATGCAACCCATGTGGGTGCCACCCAACGTCCGATTCGAGCTAGAAGACTGCACGCAACCGTGGTCGTGGGGTGAAAGTTCCTTCGACTTTGTACACCTACGGTACTTATTTGGCGCCATCCCCGACTGGAATGGATTCATACAAGAGGCATACCGCGTGACTAGACCTGGAGGCTGGGTCCAAAGCTGTGAGACCGAAGTCATCATCCAGTGTGACGACGGAAGCATCCCTCCTGACAGTACATTCAAGACCTTCTGGAATAAGATGTATCACGAGATAGGGGGTAAAATAGGCACGTCGTTTAAGCCCCTTACCCATAACTTCCAGGAGAGTGCCTTTAGAGCAGCTGGGTTCCGGGATGTTGAGGTGTATGATTACAAGGTGAGTCATAAACATTAGCCTTTCTAGTATTGATGAGGAAGATGGGAAATAGGCCAGCTAGAGAGTCTTCGTATAACCTCGCCTTACCCATTTTCATCGCCTTTTTTATTTCAGTCCACGACAAGACTCATCTCTTCATTTTCGGTACTCTGAATCCTCATACAAGTATCGTGCCCAGTTTATGTAGGGCTGACTTGGATACCAAAATACAGCTCCCGATTGGTGGGTGGCCAACCGACCACAGGATGTCAGAAGTTGGCCAGTACGTCCAATTAGCATTACTTAACGACCTCGAAGGTGAGTCACCATGGTCTGCGCCAGTTTCCAATATACCCGAGCAATTCTAATGTAGCTACAAACCTGCAGGCTACACACTCGTGCCTTGGAACACGGTCATGGGCGAGAACACCCCGGGTTATAAGGAGAATCTGTCGCAGATGCGGAGGGAGCTACATAATAGGAGGTTACACGGATATATGAGGACTCGTTATGTATATGGTCAGAAGCCGGAGTCGTGACGTATACCTAAGTTGGAGGAGTGATCGCTCGTATCTTTACGTCGTAGGATGGGAAAAGATGACGTGGATGACAACAGATCATCCACAAGCGGAAAGGGGGGCAGATTTATGGATGTTTCGTAGGCATGGACACGCCTACGCGTGCGGAATGAAGGAAATACCCAGAATATTGATTGTTGATTGCGTCACGGACATTGGGAGAAATCGTTTAGGGGTGGATGGATCTAGTATACGGACTCAAATTGGATTGTCCACTCGATCGGTTTAAGTACTCGGCTCGACAATTGAAACTATAATGATGATCTTCTTTCGAACTTCGGGCTGACCAAAAACTATTGTCGTAATTATTCCAGTTTCTTTTTGTAACGGCGTATACCATACTGCCTTGGTGATAGCGCCATAGGAATGGCGATACCTGAGTGTTGTCTTGGAGCTTATGACGTATGGAACCAAATTTCGTCAGCGGTTTCGTAATTCATCATTCTTAAATAATCTCCGAGATTTCACAGGTGACGAATCCAATGGCATTAGCTTGATTGTCAGAACTTTGTTCCCGTCGAATCGGATAGGGGATAGGAAGTCCTAGGTTATTGGCGAGTTTATAACTTAGGTAGGCTTACGTTGGCATGCTATTAGGAGATATATGTGCCAATTAATTGATCATATTTAGAATGTAAATATATTAATTCAGAGACCTTATCCGGATCTCGGCTAGAGGTATCAGGAATAGTAGATGTTCTCTACGTCAAGTGTGACTTATAAGGCATTAATAGTAGACAGATTAGTACGAATCTTGTCGATGCTCTAGTGTATTATATCAAGATAGTATTGTCTGTAATGTATTGTTATAGGTCTATATTAGAATACCCTGCAGCAATCGGGCGTCCGGCGAGATAGAAACTCTATCTAGCTGCTTGGTTCATCTTTGCGGGGGTTAGGTGTAACTGACGCAGGAACGCGCAACAAGGTAGGGGTTTGAGAAGATAAACGGAAGCAGGGTCAAACGACTCAAAGTAAATGACAACTAAACATTGACAGTTGCTTAAAGTGGCAGCAAATTTAGTTTGACAGCTTAGAGCTGGGCTGTCCCTCCCGTGTGACATGTGCTTGGGGAATATGTCCGACGATGTCGTGTATTTGTGACATCTTACGTAGGAGGATAATCACATATGTATAACATGGGCCCAGATTTACTTGCCGTCCAGGCAAAACCCTCTCTTCCTGTTGGGAAATATTCGAGCTTGGAACAGTCCTACAATGAATTTACTATGGCCCTACGGGCTAAGTAGCCTATATCTATTTTCATATCTTCTCCTCTTCTTAGCCGTTGCGATTCTATCGGTAGTCGTCTACCGGCTCACCTTTCACCCCCTCGCACGTGTTCCTGGACCCGTGTTGGCGGCTTCTACTGGATTATACGAGGCATATTATCAGTGTATAAAGGATGGCGGAGGGAGATATTGGGTCGAGATCGAGAAGATGCACCAGCGTTACGGTAATGACATCTTGCTCTCCTAATACCTCAATATTGGTGATTTAAGACACCCTAGCTTACCGAACTATACTTTGGCGCGTAGGTCCTATCGTCCGTATAAACCCGCAGGAAGTGCATATCGCGGACCCGGACTGGAATGCGGTATATAAGTACTCGTCGAAGGCATCGAAGCCGCGGTGGTTCTACTTCCGGTTCTTCGGCAGGTTCCCGAGTACTAATGTAGCCGAGTCGCACGCGCTACACCAGCTTCGTCGGGGCCCGTTACAAGTATACTTTGCCTCGACAAACATCCAGCAGTATATGCCCACGATCCTAGCACAAGTCGATAAGCTCTGCGCTCGCATACACGCTGCCGACGGTTGCGTCCTTAACTTAAGCGACGCTTTCCGCTGCCTCGCCACCGATATTGCGACCGGCTTCGCGTTCGGCGCCCCCTTCGGACATCTCAACGAACCGACTTTCGACCGCGAGTTCAACCTCGCCGTCAAGATGGTCGTGCGCACTAGTATGTGGAGTCGACATACCTTCGGGTTGCTGCTGCCTATACTGCATAGTCTCCCGGAGAGCATCGCGAAGAAGATGAATCCGGCTTTCGGCCGGGTGAAGTGGATGAGGGATGTAAGTTGTCACTCTTCTAACTAGTGCGCAATGACTACATATTAATTACTACGCGTCCCATGAACGTGCCACATAAAGCGCAGTGCGCTCGCTGACTTGCTTCTGCACAGACTATGACTAGTTGCGTCCGGCGCTCGATGAACAAGCCCGAGCCCGCGCCTGGCACCCCGTACGACATGATACAGACGCTGATGTCCTCGAACCTGCCGCCGGAGGAAAAGACGTTCCCGCGGCTCTTCTCCGAGACCCGGTCTGTCATTATGGCTGGCACAGAGACGACCGCGACTACGCTCGTCTGCATCACGAGCAATCTTCTTAGCGATCCAGCGAAGCTCCAGAAATTACGGGCCGAGTTGGATGCTGCTGAGAAATCGAAGGGGAACCCGCTTGGATATTCGGACCTGCGAGGACTGCCGTATATCACCGGTATCGTCAATGAAGGCCTTCGCATGGCTAATCCGACGCCGAGCCGACTGCCGAGGGTCTGTGAGGACCAGGACCTGAAGTACAAGCAGTGGATTCTGCCCAGAGGCGTAAGTTTTGTGATTTGAATTAGCATCGAGTCTGTCCTTTTTGTTTTCCCCATATCTCTCCTCTCTACCATCAAGGAAAAAAAAGCAAAAGATATCTAACCTACCTACCTGATACATACATACCACTAACACAACTCCCGCTGGGAATACCACAACCAGACAACCATCTCGACAACAACCCAAGACACGCACAACGACCCTTCCGTATTCGCGCAGCCACACAGGTTTATACCAGAGCGGTGGATGGATCCGGAGGAACGGCGGCGACTAGGGCGGTACCTACAGCCGTGGGGACGTGGCACACGGCTGTGTCTAGGCATGGAACTCGCAACTACGGATTTGTATCTAGCCGTGTCTCGACTATTCGGACCTCACGCTGGCTTCGAAATGCGCTTGTACGACACCGTCGACGACGATTGGGTTGCGTACCACGAGTGGTTTGCTGCGTTCCCTAGGGGACGCGGGCTCAGGGTTAGAGTTAGCAGGACAGAAGGAGAGGGAAACGGAAAGAATAGGTAAAGAGTTTAGAGAGAGAGAGAGCTCGGAAGATGCTAGTTCTTTCTGGTTGCCTTGTGGAAAAGAGACGGCTGGAGGATAAACGATGGGCTAGGTCACTATATGAGTAGAAACGAATGTACAGGTTAGGGGAAGATATTGCACTAAGGAAAGCCATTTTGTCCTGAATTGTCTTATACCAATGTTATCGTAAAACCACTATCGTTCATCCGAAGTTCTGCGTGTATTAACACAATATACATTCACATATCACAAAATAGACAATTCGAGCACAGGTAATTGATCTCAATTTACTAGTAAATCGTATCGTCAAAACTCCATTCTCAATAGGTTTTCTTTTAGAAAGAGAAATTTGGAGTAAACTGTAAGATCCAACTACTTGAAGAGTCTGGTCGAAGTTCGATATATACCTCATTGCCATTTACTACGCCATTAGAAAGTACAGCTGCCACACGGATAGAAAGTCACAACTACTACCTTCAGCTGAACAAAGCTACCCTGAAGACCCCGTACGACCGTACTCTCACGTAAGAAAATAGGTACTTGACTCGATAAAAGCGAATACTCAAATTTCTGCGCTTTGATAAGAATACTCTTTGCGTATTTGTTTCATTACCTAGGCTGTAATCAATCTAACCTAGGTAGCAATATCAATGACTTACAGTTTCGAGGGAAAAGGCACCTAAAAAGACGCTCCAGGAACTCGGTGTTTCCCAACTCATGCCGAATAGTACGTGAGTAATACTTCCTGAACAGATATCGAACCAATTGTGCCTCCAGAATTCATTTACCGTGCTTTTATACGCCAGAAGAGCTCTACCTATAACCCAAGAGCCATTAACTACTCGAACAAATTACTCAAGCACCAAGCCTCACTCCGCCGAGATAGGAACAAGCAAGGCAAGACAACAATTCGTACAATTCAACCTCACCATTTACCAAAGCAGCATCCATCCTGTGGTTCCACGACTACCACTCGCCGCTTTGTCAACCAAAGAAGAAAAATAAATAAATAAACAGCCATGCCACCCGCTACCAAGTCGTTACATCGCCTCTCCTCTTTACGAGTTCCTCGCCCAATTCGTCTCCGCGAGGCTGTCTTATATTAACCCGCGAAGCCCAACGGAGAGGGGAAGAAAGGCAGCGAAAAACCCCCATAGCGAGAGTAGTCTCCGAGTAGTCTCCGCCTAGGACCTCCAATTACTAATCCCTTAACAAACCAATACCCCTGGAAAATAGATGATGATGATGGTTGTGATGATGTGTGTGGTGCCTTATGTCCCTCATGCAGGTAAGCCCAACCGCTCAAGTTGACACGTTTTCCAAGTGATAAAGTAACCCCCCTCTACCCCGTCGCGGTGAACAAGAGGGGGTAGCAGCAGCATAACCCCCCCCCCCTCCCCACCGTCGGTTCCAGATGTCGCCCCTCGAGATGATGGTGAGGCATTGGTGTTTTTAGTGGACTCCGGCAAAACTCGCGGCCCGCTACGCGGCGCTGGTCTCCTTTTCCCAATGGGAGTTCTTGCCGCGGGATTTAAATCTATTATTGTCCTAGACGCATGAACGGCGGTCACATGACGGAGGCGAGGAGGATAGTGGCCCGCAAAGAGGAGGCCTGGGCTGAGTTTGAGGTTCCGAGATCTGATACATCATGCCATCCAAGCGAACATGTCAGAATCATCTCCGGTTATCATTATGCTCTCGCTAATAAGAATATGATATATCAGATCTAAGAAAGATAAACATTCAAATTCTAACTTCGGGGAATTCTCTAGATACCTAGTGATAAAAGGATCGTTATATGTACCATTCGAACTGTCAGCAGACTCTGGGGTTGTATCGGATTGTGAAACTCGAGATTTGTCCGGCCCCCATTCGCTTGATTCTACGCCATCCTCTCAAGGCTCCCTCGTCTCATCGGCAGCGCGTCCTACGAGCTCCAAAGCCTTCACTAGCACGTCGCGATCTTTCTGGAACGTCAATATCTTGACGGCTTCGTCGCTCCGAAAGAATTTAGGTTCGAACTGCGCCTCTCCATCTCCCGCAATGCTGTCTAGTTCTGCGATAAACCACCAGACTAACTTGACACCGTTGCCCTTCCCCAAGTCCCGAACATCTAGCATGAAAGCTTCCGTGAGGCTGTCGTAGGTGCGTGGGATATCCTTGACATCAGCCGCTTCCAAGTCAGATGGAGCTCGAGTAGTCATTGTTACGGGGCGTAATTGAATCGCACAGCCTGACTCTTCGCGAACTTCTCGTATAGCCGCGTCTTTCCGAGATTCGTTACAGTTACGTCTCCCTTTCGGCAGCAACCATTCGTCCAAGGCAGCATAGTATAGCAGGAGGACTTGCTCCGGCTTCTCAGTGTTAAACACAACAGCCCCGCAAGCTTCGACGAATTTCTCCGAAGAATAGAGTGTGCTCTTCCAACGTGTTGTTGCCATTGTAATGCTTAAAATGATTGTGATATTTAGGGATCGAGCCTACAGGAGTGAGGCAGGAAACCGGCTAATATCTCGGAGAGGTAGAATGATGTAGACTGTGCTAGCCAGGTAAAATACGTTAACTTCGAGACTAGATCTTTGCAAACCGACTTACCGCTGGCACTAAATCGGAAGTGAGAGAACCCGAGGATAGCTCAGATTAGCGGATTCACAATATTTGTTACTATACACACTTGAGGCGGAAAAGCAACTACGGTGTCACACCAAAGGCTACAGACATAACCAAGGCGGGACCACCGGTATACATACGCGCAATTTCTTTGATCCAGATGTCTCAGTAGTCCCAGGGATAGCCTCTTAACAATATTTCGTGACAGGATATGGTCATCTGATCCGAGGAAGCACCTTGCGACCTTACCTAGGATAAAGCTCTTACGCTGCCATAATATTCTAGGTAATAAGATGCGGACCGAGGTGATTAATCTGCATAATGGTAGCGCTGGGCTAGGTAGAGGAAGGGGTTTCTCTGCTGACGTTGCTGATAATCCTTAAATCGCAATTGACGTGGGCGGGCAAGACCATAAATGGACACCGGAAGCCCCAGTGTACGACGAGGGTAGACGGGCCTTTAGCACCAACAGCACCACATTATGAAAAGCATTCCCTGTCGACAGATGGTCGAGCGAGGGGGAATCCGAGCCGAGCATATCTCCAAGTTTATGCGAGATATTGACAAATGTTGGCGTTGGAATCAATGGGACGCAAGCACTTAGCCGTCATCTTTGGCAGGTGTTAAAGGTGACTTGGTGACTTGGTGACTTGCCGCCCATGCATGTCGGCGGCACGTAAGGACTCTTCCATGCTTCGACGACACAGGGCGTACATAGTTGTCCCGAGTGAATGGTCTGCTACTACGGCCCGGTGCGGGGGATTACGTGAGCATAAAGCATACGTAGTTATCTGTTAGTTATATGTTGTTATCTGTTATATGTTGAATGAGTAATTCGTAGATAGTGATCTATTGCGAGCTAATTGAAGGGATGGTGGAATGCTGTGATCTGTAATTTGTAATCAATTCTTTTCGTTCATAAGATGTGGATTCGAGCTTCTGTTTTGACATTAACAATTTCCTAATTGAAGTTGGAGAGAAAGCTTCGACTTGTAGATTACAGCCGTATCTCCTTTGTTGTTGAGGAGAGCGATGTTCGATATTCTCAGGGGGATTTAGGTACCTGTAAAATACCTAAGTACTTGGATACTTGGATACTTGGGTACTTACTTGACTTACAACGGGAGTACCCAGCGCCCAGACAGCCAGAGTCCAGCCCCCAAGACCTAAAACAATTTGGTCTATCGATAATGCGCAATTACATGTTTCTCGTACGCTTAGGCGGGGTATGTATTGTGCTGATTGCAATTGCATTGAATGAAACGTTGGGAATGGCGGGGTCTTAATTTCTACATGCACTTCTGCAACATGTGAAAGTGGACTTATCACACCATCTGGAAAAAGAATAGCGACGGCGCCTGACTGTTGTAGATACCCACACGCCATGTCTCGGGTGATGAGGATGCAGTAGGAGAAAAGGTCAAGTGACGAGATCCAAGGTGAGTAGGGTGAGAAGCGTGCGAAGCGTGCGAAGCGTGATCACCAACTTGGTGGTGGGGTGTCTTGGACAGAAACAAGATAACGATAAGATGGATGGCCATAAATAGTACCTTACCTAGGAGGTAGAGTTTATAGCACCCCCTTCCCGTGCGGACCTAAGGCATGTATGTCTCGAATGTACGTATTATATACGTACATACATGCATTGATAGGTACGTACATAATTCCTAGGGGGGGGAGGGTGTCTAAAAGGTATTAGGAGGCATTGTGCGACGTCTACGTACGAGAGACGGCTAGGGCGGATCTAGGCGAACTAGATTCTGCCCCAATGTTCGAGCTGTCTCTTTTCTAGGTGGTCATGTGGATTCATGGATGTGCAGTGCCTGGCCTGGATACATGACTGCTTATCGTTGTGTATAGATGATACCTTGGGTATTCAATATTGCCTCTCTCTAGGTAGGTAATAAGCGTGCACACGCCAACCACGCTGCCGTACCTAAGATAATATATATCGACTAATTGAAGTTGTTCAAGTCGTGCAGCTTTAATTGAAGAGATCGTCAGGCAATTGATTTTAGGCATCTGCTTTTACACTCGGCTGGACTTGACGCGTTATATCGCTTTCGGTACTTGAGGGCAGAATCAACTGCCTGCCTGCTTCATCTCGAGTGAGGCGATAACTGTGCGACACAAACGGCCTCGGCTTGTGTACCGCTATTTGCCAGGCCATTTGCTGAGATCGAGTAATGTAGTTAAACCGGCAATTGGGTCTCAATTGAAGAATAATCAGCTTGTCGTAGCCAATTAAATTGAGTAATGTACTATGCTCTCGTAAGTGGTAGAGAATTGGTTGGCCCTGGTTGATTCACGAATAGAGCCGCCGTCGTAAAGATCAATTGATATAACGTTAACTATCCCGGAAGCTCACTTCGCTCATTTTATGAGTCACGAATGCCTGTAATATAAATAATGGTATGAGGCTTGCTTTTTCGTCTCAAGATAGCTGAATGAGAATGTTGAGAACGGCTACGAAATGTTAAGCGTTGCCCTTGATTCAAGTCCCATCCCGGTAGGCGCATTTATGCAGGGTACGCCATGATATCTCGAGGCAAGCTGGTAAGTAAAATTAATAAGAAGCCTACTTAGGCATACGGGAAACGATGTTGTACAGCACTCCTAGGCTGTAAGCTTCGAGAACGTCTCACACACGACTCTCATAACTCGGGCGCTTTCGGATCTGCATTGAGCAGCTTCCCGCTTTATATCTGTCATATGTTAATGCCAACGATAAGAAATGTGAGGCGGAGCTGGGGCAAGCATAACGTAATGGAACGGAGACTAGACAGCCGAGAATCAGGCGAGGTAGGCTGTCAAGGTAGATTGTCTAGGATGCCTAATCCATTAATAGAGGGATTCGACAGTTCGAATTGACGTTGTCCCGGATCCGTCGGGGAAACTCTAGAGTAGTGTATCGATGGCGATATAAGTATGATTGCTCGTCGTGGATAATAAGTCCGCCAAAGTCCGAGTAAGACGTTGACATGTTGACAAATTATACGGATTAAATAGGATTAGACAGAAGCTAGTCAGCCTAGGTCGGATCATCGGTATTAGTGTTGCTATTGCCACGAGGATAATGATCCCGTACTCCACGAATCTAGGAGACTAGGCAACAGAGAGCATCGTCAGCATTGCTGCGGTTGTGCTACATTACTCCGCGCCGATAAGCCATGCGTAAAAGCCATGCCTAGAAGGAAAATAGGGTAGGTAGATACCTAAGTAGTAGTTAAGTATTATCGCCGGTCTACTTTCAATGTTGTGATTGACAAAAGCATGGCCATCTCTAGGCAGCACGTTAATGGCCAATGTTGTAGGTTAGGTAGGCAAAAGGTACCTAGCTACTACAGAATTGACGCATTCGAGATCTGGGGACGCCATCAGGTTGGGGTTTGGGTGTAAAACAGATCTGTAAGTCTGCCCCACGCGGGCGCACCCCGTTAATGAGGTACATGAAAATGTATGGTGGAAAGTGGCTTGTGACTTTAGCGTATGACACGAGTTGTGAGTGGTTAATATGACATGTACCGATGGGAGTGGGGAATAGTAGCGGTACTTAAAACTTAAAAAAGGTACATTTTACGACCGGACACCTGAATAAAACCTTGGCATGAAATGCTTGAATTTGGAATATTTTAAGTTAGAAGGCTTTTAAAATGTGTTAGGCGCTATGCTTTAAAGGGTAGTATAGTTTCACCTGAAGTCCATGTTGCCCAATAATAAGCTTAGCAGGAGCGACGATTGGCTCTTTCTAAACAGTTAGATAAGAGATTCTTCAATAATAGGTAGGTACATAGGTATAATTCCCCCCTCACTAGAATTTGCTAAGTAATGCTATTGTTCCACGTCCTTTATTTTCCTTTTTGTCTGATTCCTTCTACTTCTTCGCCTCACTGTCCTTGCACTAGGTATATGACTCACAGACAAAAAGGCTTCTCGGCATCTTCAGCTCAGTCAAATCCACCCAATTATGGACATTCTTATCTACCAATTGATCTTTTGATTGGCCAATTCGTCTCATCGATTTTCTAGATTGTCCCCTCATTCACTTCGGTCTACATAGCGCTGAGGTGGCAGTTTTTGCTCTCTTCTTGCTGCTGGTCAATTACTTGCTCTAATCGCGTTTGCTTCCGGAGGCGGGTTGTCTGTCTCAGGTACTTCTACGCAGAAGCCCGAATCCCTCCTGGATAGCCGCCATATCCGCTTAGCCTAGCCTGCTTTTTCGAGTTTCTCGTTTTCTGTTAATGCGAGCAATGACATCTCGCTTCTTTGGTGGTTTTGGGTTTTTATGCTACATCGCACTCCGGATGACGACTGTGTGTCTGCGCCATCGAAACGCGGTCGCGTCAGCTCTAATACCTACCAACCTTGGCAATAAATCTAAGATCCTTCTATCATCCCAAGTCGGCTCGGGGGGAAATGAAGGCCGGCAGTGGCAGTTGCTAGAATGGAGTCAAGTAATCAATGAATTAAGTATCTCACTATCATTAAGTTTCCTAATCCTTCGTATAAAACTTTTACTTGCACAATTCTCCTCAATTAAAAAGCCCGCATGTTATTGTCTTATGTACCTGTTTATCGTAGCTCCAGCCGTCGGATCCTGATATACATGTATCTTTGTCTACCTTCCGTACAGCTCTGGCTTGGCAGCGTTGCTGGCTAACAGGACGATGACATGTCAGATATAGGTCAGATATGAAGCTTGCAAAACCTCATATTCACCAATGTGCTATGGCCTTGGTTGGTAGTTGGCATCGCCCACCTCATACGCCTAACAATTGGCCAACCGTTTCTTAACACCTGGTTTGCGAATCTTATACAGTGTCCATGGAGAAACGCGAGCCAGACGCTGCGTGACACGATGCAAATTCGCCATGTTCAATCGAACTTCTGGTCCACTTGAAGGTACTAAACTTTGGGCATCAGGATCTCCCCAGGAAAACACAAAGGTCAATTCGCTGGGAAAGGTCTCTTGTAAACGGGGAAAAGGCGCATTCGTCCAACTTTAAATCAGTTACGGTGCCTAATCTGGCGCAAATCTTGTGCGCTGCGCCTAGGTTATTCCCGTCGACATCAACTTACCATGCGTGCCAGCGTTGCAGCTTTCA